GGTGAGACCGGAGAGGTCATATGCAGGTCATGTGTGCCCTTTGTGTTAGCTCCCTGGCTGGGGATTGAACTGAGGGCTTAGTGGTGATAGCGCAGAGACTTAACCCTTAGGCAACCAGGGAGGCCCCAAGGTTTTCTCTTTTGACCTGAGCTGACCAGAGTAGTGTTAATTACTGATATGTGCCAAACCCTGATCAGAAAGTTCCACCTTCTCATTTCCTTGACTTATCCTTATACCCCATGAACTAGTAAGTAGGCTGTATGTGATACCTCTTGCCTATTCCTCTCCTTCTGGCACTCTATAGGAAAGGCCAGTCCTGTGGGATTTTAGTTGCCCAGGAAGGTGTTCAAACTCTGAAACTGAACTTCCCCATGCTTTTTGTAGCTGTTGGATCAGTGCCTGGCACCGGACACTTCTGGGGACGGTACAGGGTGTGACAACATGACCTGCATTATCATTTGCTTCAAGCCCCGCAACACAGCAGAACTTCAGCCAGAGAGTAGCAAGCGGAAACTGGAGGATGTGCTCTCTACTGAGGGGGCTGAAGAAAATGGCAACAGTGACAGCAAGAAGAAGGTCAAGCGGGACTAGCAGTTATCCAGAACCCTGCCCACCGAGACTGTTTTCTGAGCCCTCTGGAACTGAGACTGAGTTTTGTCTTTTTCCTTTAGCCTTAGCAGTGGTTATGAGGTGTGCAGGGAGGAGCTGGGTGTTTTCCTCAGCCCATTCCAAAGAGGGCTCACCCTCCACGCAGCAGCCCAGGAGCCTCTGCGGTCCTCCCCAGCCTTCTCCTTGCTCCTTGAGGCTCATCACCGGTTCTGTGCCTGTGCTGTTGTGTTGGAGGGAAGGACTGGTGGTTCTGGTTTTTACTCTGTGAACTTTATTTAAGGACATTCTTTTTTATTGGCGGCTCCATGGCCCCTAGCCGCTCGCACCCGCTCTCTGTTGTACACTTTCAATCAACACTTTTTCAGACTAAAGGCCAAAACCTAATCGTGCCCATGGTGTCCTTTTTTCTCTGCTGCAGTCCATTCCGGGCCACCCAGAGAACTCTGGCAAAAGACTTGACCCCACCGTTAGCATCTACCGAGTCCCTCTCTGCGGTCCACCTTTCGAGTGTGCCTTTAGGTGTGGAGGGTTGGGGGGTGCTGTAGCTCCTGGCCGGCTGGTTTGGCGACGACGCGTCCTCGCCCCTTCCTGGAATCAGGGATAATTTTTCCGTCCCTCCAGGGAGGGGTCAGGACCGGTCAGGCGGCCCATGACAGCCGCCTGCAGCCCTCCCTCGGCCGGGTTTCTCGCTGCTCTCCGATTGGCTCGCGCGCCCCCTTTCGTCACAATCACTTCCTGGTCACGCAGCGAAGCTTTCGCCGCTGGGCTTCGCACGGACTACGCTTCCCGTGTGGCTCTGCGGAAGCGGAAGCGGAAGCGAGCACGGAGGTACCAGCTGGTCTCCGTAGGGGGGGTCGGGGGCTCCATGAATGGACGCGGCGGCGGCGGCGGGAGCGGCCTGAGCTGGGCGCCGGGGCCAGAGCCGGGGGCGGCCCGGGGCCCGCGCCGCTGCATGGGGGCGGCTCGCGGGTCCTGAGAGGCGGGGCGGGCGGGCGAACCGACCAGGGAGGGGCGGGGCCGGGCGGCCACAGGCCGGAGGCGCGTCGGGCTGGAGCCGGTCACGATGCCCCGAAGGAAGCAAAGCCACCCGCAGCCCGTGAAATGCGAGGGGGTCAAAGGTCAGGGGTCAGGGGCCGCGGGGGGAGGAGCGGGGTGGGGACAGTGGCGTGAGTTCAGGTCGGGGTGGCGGGGGACTCCTAAGGGATGGGGTGGGCGATCTGGACTCCGAGCTCCTCGCCGAGGTACTGAGGGGACCCGAGAGGCCCGCGAGTGCGGGAAGCGGGTTACGAGGGCCCCCCCGGGTGCGGATGACGGGCACGGCTCCTGCGGGCCAGCCTCCAAGCCCCCTCCCCCCTCCAGTGGACACCGAAGACTCCCTCGATGAAGGACCCGGGGCCCTGGTATTGGAGAGCGATTTGCTACTAGGCCAGGATCTGGAGTTTGAGGAGGAAGAGGAAGAGGAAGAGGAGGAAGGTGACGGCAACAGTGACCAGCTCATGGGCTTCGAGAGAGACTCTGAAGGTGGGTTTGGGAGATTGGATTCAGTCTTGGTGACCCCTAGAACCTCAGCCCTTCGGGAGGAAGGTTAGGGTATAGGGCTAGAGAGTAACCCCCCATTTCCTGCCACCGCAGAAGGTGATTTGAACTAGATTTTTTTGGCTACTGGTCTGCCCAGTCGGCTCCAGGGCTGTTTAGGTGAAGTTCCGAGGCCTGGTCCGAAGGTGGTGAGGACAGGGGATGAGCACACGATGCAGCTGGTTAGAAGCAAATGCCCTTTTAATAACCTTGTCCCCCTCCCTAGCCAGTTCCTTTGTGAACTTACTTTTAAGAGGTTCAGGGAAGCAACTGCTTAGGTCTGACTCCCTTTCACCTGCAGCACAAGCTTCTTTTGTATTGAGGTTTTAGTCCAGCCTCAAGTACCCTTCCACATTCTCTTCCCTGTAATTTCTTGGCATCACCCCATCTAATTTGCTGCGCTGCCTAACCACTTATACCACTTACGAGGTTTTTGAAAGTCATTGAGGGAATCCATATAAAAAGGAATCCATCCTTTAGGCTTAGAAGTGGTATTAGTTGCATTTCTCTTTCTTCACTTCCCTCCAAATTTTGCTTCACTGGAGGTAGTGTTTATAATCGGTTCCATATTACAAGGGACCTCAGCAATACAGAGCTTGGAAAGCGTCTCGGATCTCTACCTTGTGTATGTTTTACTTCCTTATTCCAGTAGTCAGTTAATTGCATTGACTCATTTCAGTGTCTGACCCACTCTGAGCTCTTTTTCCTCTCAGTGGAGCTAAGTACAACCGCCATGGCCAGGTTAGCGCAGCTTCCCAGGGAGAGTTCATGTTGAATTTTCAGGATCTTTGAAGCGAAGAGTGGGTCCAAAGTGGGGAGACCACAAGTGAGAAAGGGAGTTTGGAGCACGGTCCTACCCCATGTTGATGTCTCTTCTCATGTCTGTCTCACCAGGAGACTCTCTGGGGGCCAGGCCTGGGCTTCCCTACGGGCTGAGCGACGACGAGTCTGGGGGCGGCCGGGCACTAAGTGCCGACAGTGAAGTTGAGGAGCCAGCCAGGGGTCCAGGGGAGGCCAGGGGTGAGAGGCCAGGCCCAGCCTGCCACCTGTGTGGGGGGCCGACAGGTGAGGGGCCGTGTTGTGGGGCAGGAGGGCCGGGTGGGGGGCCCCCGCTGCCCCCACGGCTGCTGTACTCATGCCGCCTCTGCGCCTTCGTGTCCCACTACTCGAGCCACCTGAAGCGGCACATGCAGACACACAGCGGAGAGAAGCCGTTCCGCTGTGGTCGCTGCCCCTACGCCTCAGCCCAGCTCGTCAACCTGACGCGACATACCCGCACCCACACTGGCGAGAAGCCCTACCGCTGTCCCCACTGCCCCTTTGCCTGCAGCAGCCTGGGCAACCTGAGGCGGCATCAGCGCACCCACGCGGGGCCCCCCACTCCTCCCTGCCCGACCTGTGGCTTCCGCTGCTGTGCTCCGCGTCCAACCCGGCCTCCCAGCCCCGCAGAGCAGGAGGGGGCGGTGCCCCGGCGACCTGAAGGTAAAGAGCCAGGAAGCAAAGGACCTGGGACTTGGGCGGGGCCTCCCGGGATGCTGGGATTCATAGCCCTGCTCTCATTGCCTCCACAGATGCTCTGCTGCTTCCAGATTTGAGTCTTCATGTCCCACCTGGCGGCGCCAGTTTCTTGCCAGACTGTGGGCAGTTGCGGGGTGAAGGGGAGGGCCTCTGTGGGACTGGAGCAGAACCACTGCCAGAGCTGCTGTTCCCTTGGACCTGCCGGAACTGTGGACAAGAACTGGAGGAGGGGGAGAGTAGTCGGCTGGGAACTGCCACGTGTGGGCGCTGCATGCGAGGAGAGACTGGAGTGGGGGCCAGTGGGGGGCCCCAGGGCCCCAGTGACAAAGGCTTTGCCTGTAGCCTCTGCCCCTTTGCCACTCACTACCCCAACCACCTGGCCCGGCACATGAAGACACACAGTGGGGAAAAGCCCTTCCGCTGTGCCCGCTGCCCCTATGCCTCTGCTCATCTGGACAACCTGAAGCGGCACCAGCGAGTCCACACGGGAGAGAAGCCCTACAAGTGTCCCCTCTGTCCCTATGCCTGTGGCAACCTGGCCAACCTCAAGCGTCATGGTCGCATCCACTCTGGGGACAAACCTTTTCGGTGTAGCCTTTGCAACTACAGCTGCAACCAGAGCATGAACCTCAAACGCCACATGCTGCGGCACACAGGCGAGAAGCCTTTTCGCTGTGCCACCTGCGCCTACACCACTGGCCACTGGGACAACTACAAACGCCACCAGAAGGTGCATGGCCATGGTGGGGCAGGAGGGCCTGGCCTCTCTGCTTCGGAGGGCTGGGCTCCACCTCACAGCCCCCCTTCTGTTTTGAGCACTCGGGGTCCAACGGCCCTGGGCAGCACTGGTAGCCGGGCTGTCCATACCGACTCGCCCTGAACCAGGTCCTTTTCCTTTAGGGCCTTACGGATTCGCCCTGTATGTTTTATACAGATGGACTAGAAGCTACCTTCTTCCTCCCCCGCTGGCCAGGGGCTCCACACAGACTAACCTAGCCCAAACCCCATGGACCGGGGGCCTTGTCTTGACTGGTGCACTTCATGAGCTCAGTGAGAAGGGTCCTGTATTCACCTCCATTGCTCCATCTCCAGGGGCTGTGGAAGAACTGGCTGGGGGTTTGCCCAGCCTCCCACCTGTTTATTTAACTTATTTCAGTGCTTTATAATAAAGGAAACACTAACAAAGCCATGTCTATGCTGAGTTGGCAGTGGCACGTACAGCTCAGCCTCACCCTGATCCTCAGCACAGCAGTCCATGTTGTGATGGAGGGAGCGGGGCAGTGAGAGGGAAGCAGAGGTAGGCAGCAATCAGGCTGAGTTTAATGAGGGGGAACTGGGCCAGACCACACAGAGACTTCTGCCCATCCCCTTGGCCTGGGGCCTCAGAAGCAGCCCAGGAGGAGCTGTGGTTCCTCCCCAAGGCAGGTAGCCATGGTCCCTTGGACTTTGTGCAAAATACTAAATGCTAATTTGGCATTGAGGGCCAGCTCTGGAAAGAGGGGACAGTCCTTTTTGCAGCCAGCCTGGGGGAGAAGGGAAGGTAGGTTAGGAGGCTCCTGGCCAGGAAGAGAAAAGGAGAAGGTAAGAAGACGACTCCCCAGCTTGGGATATACAGGCACAGGGCAAGTTTCTGAACATAATTCCAGGGTAGAGGGCAGACATCCGAGCACTGGAGATCACAGATCCTCATCTCCAATGCCTTCGAAGGCGAAATTGCCGTGGACATCACTGGCACTGGCATCTGTGCTGGGACTGCCAATCCCCCGCAAGCTCACAGCACTCAGCTTGCTCTGTAACAAAGGCAGGGTGGGGGTCAGAGTGCCGGATCCTCCTTGAGATTCCCCTACAAACACCCATTTCACCAACCCTTGTAGGCAACTCACTGAGAGTTTGACCATGGACTCCCGACTGGCATCAGGTGACTCCTGGGGAAGAGGCAGAGGTGTCAGAGACCTCACTGAGGCAAGGCTGGGGGCTGGGGTACTGACCAGGGAATAACTTACAAGCAGCGGTGGGGACTTGACTGCTTGCTGGCTGTCTGAGCGTCTCAGAGTGCCCCCGACCCGGCGGCGCAGCATCTGGGGGTGAGGGTAGGGGCAATGATGAGGGCAGGATCATTCCCTTTGAAATGCCCATCACTTCCCCTCCCTCTTCAGTGAAGCCTCGCGCCTAGGAGACTACAACCACTCAGCTGCTTGGCCCCTGCTTGCTGCTTACCTTCCTGATACTGCCTCCGGATTTCTTTACCATCAGCTCATCTACCATGGACTGCAAGCAGATGCTCATCATGATAGCCTGAGGGCAAGAAGAGAGCTCAGCCTGACCAGAGTGGTCATCCTGAGCCCAGCACCCCTAAGACAAGGCTCCCACTCACGTGGAGTCCTGGAAGCCCTAGACTTGGGTATCTAAGAGAGACGGTGCAATGGGCTCCAGAGGAGGCCTGAGGGTGGGCTCACACCTGGGGGCTGGTGATGGTGACCCACTGTAGCCGGTCCTTGCTCATGAGGTATTCGAAAGCCAGCTCCAGGCGCACCTCGCCCCGGCCCCGGCCCGGGCTGCTTGTGCCTCCGCTGGGCAATGGCACCTGAGAGAGGAAGGGGAATTAGGCAGAGTTTATTCTGATCAAGCTACCTCCTCTGAAGCTCCAGGCTTGCTCTGCAACCCCTAGGGCCTCTCCCTCCCACCCCAACTCACAGAGGAGGTGACCCGCCAGCACCGCATGCGGGTGACACGGAAGGAGCCTTCTCGGAGTTGTTGGCCGGGCAGGCGGAGCTGGAGGCTGAGCTCACTGTTGCCTGCACTCACCACCACAGGACAGTCCTTCTCAGGAAAGTCAGCCACGCAGGCATCGAAGCGCAAGTAGCCATAGTGCCGCAGAGTCTGGGCCAGCCGCAGGAACTGAAACCATCACCATGTGGGGCGGGTGAGGAGGGGAAGGAAGCAGGACAGCCCACAGAAAGCAATCCCTTGGCGGGAGAGAGAGAGGCCTTACCTCCTTCTTGGAAACTTTTTCTTGCAGAGATTTGAGCTGCCGGTGTTGCTCCTTGGTGACCAGGATCCACCCCCGCTCAATGTCTGATACTGTCTACAGTAGAGATGGAGTGGGGTGGGGGTCCCCAGTCAGAAAGCCAAGGAAAGTGTCCAGTCACCTCTGTCCAGACTGACCCCTACGCCGTATTTGAGTGACCTCTTTGCAATGAGTCCTTGACCATATCAGCTTACAAAGCAGGGTATGCAGAGGTTGTGCCAGGTTCCCTGACAGTATTCTAGGAACTTCCCCATGCACTGAGAGTAAAGACCTGAAAGGGCTGTTCTTGGTAGAGTGGGACACCAGTCACTTTCAGGGGAAGGCTTCTGAGGCAGCTCCAAGCTCACCTGAGCATAAAGCAGATTCAGGCCAACCCGGTTCTCCATGACATCGTCGTCATAGGCAGAGTCCCAGTAACTGTGAGGTCAAAGGGTGAAAAGGGGTCATGGGGCTAAGCTGTGGTAAGGCAAGAGGCAGAGAGGAAAATAGGGGCAAAGCAGGAGCAATCTGGAACTATCAGGTTAATGGTGCAGTAGGAGGAAGCTTGGGGGACTTGGTAGAAACACCCAGTGCTACCCCCTTTTCCACATTATTCTGTCTCAATACACAGCCCAATAACCCAATCCAACTTTCTCCCGCTCCCTCCCAGCCCAGCCCTGACCTCTTCCTTAGCACAATCTTATACTCTTGACTCCGAAGACTGGTAACAGACACATAAGGCAGCTCAAACTCTTGCAACTTTCGTACAACTATGGGTTAAAAAAAAAAAGGGAAAATGTCATGAGACTCAAGGGGAGGGAAATCAAGAGTGAAGCCCTGAGGAAGTGCTACATTCTGGGGGACAGGGGAGTAAATGCACTACTTGAAGCACAGGAAAGCAGTAAAGTCCACAGAAACTCACAAGAAAAGGCTCCATCCTCTTTTTCTCGTACTAGAAAGAGACTAAAGTATCCAATCAAGTCATCTGGAAGATCTAGCTTTGCAGCCACAGCCTGAGGATTGGGAAGGAAATACAACTTATCATACTGGCTGGTTCCAATCACTCCCAAGCCTGAGCCCCTTGGGTAGGGAAAGGAAGGGCAGTGCAGAACAAATGCCTCACCTCCAGGACATCTTCGGTCTGATCTGAAGTTAGCACATTGACCAAAACCTTCTGCCCATTGCTGAGCAGGACTTCCAAGGAGACCTCCTCTGTAGGGACCTGTTGTGTCTCCTGATTGTGAGCACAGACAGGAATGGAAGACACCACCTTTTTAGCCTCTGCCCAGAGTCCATCTCTGGCCCATGCCCAACCCTCTATTTCTAGGTCTCTGGTGTCTTTATTCTCAGAAGCTTAATTACAGGCCAGGTTTCCTTAATTTTACTGGTACAAGAGTCCTTTACATTTAAAAAAAAAAAAAGGCGCCAGATGACTTCTCTGTAGCTACCTCATTAAAATGACATGGCCCTGAGAAAAGTTCTTTTCTTAAATCTTGGTCCCACCAAAAATTTTACCTGTTGTGCTCGACGCAGGAAGCTATTGAAGGTCTCACTGCTCCCAAGCAATGGGTCTTGACGAACTATGGGGACAACAGAAAGATGTTTCAGTAACATGATTCCCTTTTGGCTCTGCCCAGTTCTCTTCTAGGCAGATTGCACCCTACCCCATTTCCTGTGGCCTGCTGGATTGCCCAGCTGGCCTCACCTCACTGCATAAATTCTTCACCTTCCACACCCTTGGCTGCCATCTAGTTGAGACCAATCTATAGTTTCCAGAACTAGGGAAGTAACAATGATGTAAATCTAAAGCATATCAGATACAATTAAATTCTCCCCACCCATCTAAATTGCTTTACAACTACCTAGCATGCCCAAAGTTGCTTTGCTAGTATCTAGCATATTCTTGCATGTCATTTACTTTTGCTAATTTAATAACAGATCAACAACAGGCTTCCCAGATTTAGAAATTAATTCTTCCATAGAGCCAGTGATTTTGAGTCTCTCCCCCATAATCTTCAACAGTCAGCCTAAAGTTCTCTCCAACCACTCACCAGCTTGCATGTACTTCTCTAACTGCTCTCTCCTCTGTTCTACCTCAGCAGGTGTCAGAGAGAAAAGCTTCTTTGGGGGAAATGCAGGAAGCACATTGGCCCCATACTCCTTCCGAAGCTATTTAGAGAAAGAGATACAACTCTTCAAATAAACATGGCAGAGAGAAGAGGCAATCCACTCACAGTGTTCTCCTGGGCTCTGCTTCCCTTCCCTCAGTCCCTGCTCTTTGATCTATCCTGGTCATCTGGGAAGCAATTCCTTCAGCAGACAAAGCCACCCCTCTATCTTCGACATAGTTCTTACCTAGCTGATGTAGAAGCCATCCCCTTCACAGTGTGGGGCGGGTGTGTATGGAGCCAGGGTGTAGGGGACTTCCCAGATTATCTAGCAGGACTGTATTTATTGAACTCTCATGGGAAGTAAAGAGTTTTAGAAGAAAAGTTTATGTGCACACATAGTTACATAATAGCTAAGTATGTTCACAAAGTATCCTAGGACTTAAAGGAGTTTTACAGATCAACTAATCCATTTTTCATTTGTTGAAACTGAAATCCAAAGAAATTAGGTTACTTGCTTAGGGTTGCACAGACAATCAGTAGAACCAGGGCTCTCTACTAAATTAAACAGTTCACAATCTGGCGAGAACAGAGAGACATGCACCACAGATACCTAGAGATAACTGGAACAACTCAAGCACTGACTACAAAGCAATCAGTGATGGTTTGTAGGAGCAGGAAAAAGAATTTCAAGTTGCAGCTCAGATGACAGAAAAAATGATTTGGCAGCGGGTGGGGGTGTAGGTCGGTTTTTTTCATGCTCAGGCAAAGACTGAACTAAGACTGGGGCTAGAGAAGCAGGAAGGAGGCTGTCGAGTATAAGGAGGAGCACAGCAGTTGGTGTGGCTGACTCTACACTTTTAAGGAGTTCCAGGAAATGTCACAAGATAAGCCAGAGCACTCGATCCTCCTCTGTGGCAGTGATTAAAGGGAAGCTACAACCTAAGGAAAGCGATGAGGCGGGGAAGGAGACACTGGTGCCCAGACGTAGAAAAGGGCTTGAAGTTGCCTGAAGGCAGGGGCACAGTCCCACCTGCTCGTGCAGCCCCAGGAGCTGGCTGTAGCGCACCCGACAGTGCAAGACTCCATTCACGTGAATGTTGTAGGCCTGAGGACACAAAAGCAGGCGAGCATTTTAGGGTCGCAGTCTGGGAGACTCCCCGGAAGTTGCCTGGTGTTGCTCCTGGGGAAGGCGCAGAGCCCCTCTGAGTGTTTGTCAGTCTGTTTTCCCCAGGGCCGGGTTCCAAAGTACAAGGCCAAGTCCAGGGGAAACTCGGGCACTCTGCCGCAATCTCCCTCCCCAAGAAACCAGTGACGCCCACCAGAGCCACGAAGGCCCAGCCGGGGGAGGCAACACGGCCGAACAAAGGACCTAAAGAAGCTGCGGCGGCCTGTGGACGACTCTGAGACGTGTTACAACCATCCAGAGAGACCGCCGGGAGTCGGCAGCCTGGGACCATGCCCGAAAGGGTCGTCGGCCAGGCCTCGGAGGCCGCTCAGAGAGGGCTCCGGCCCGTTATCCCCGCCCCTGCCCGGCCCGGCTCCGGCCGCTCCTCACCACGTAGGCGGAGCCGCCGCTGTCCCCGCTGCGGGACTCGGTTTCCGGAATGGAAAAGTGCATGTTCCCCGCGGCAGGGCCCGGCCGGGCTCCAGACTGCGAGGGCCGCGGCGGCTCTGCGCGCTCCCCTCCGTTGCTTAGCGAGTCCCGGCAGCTTCACTCGCCATTTTGGGGGGCTGAGATCGGAGGTGGGAAGGGCGGTGGGACGTCCGCTCCGGGGCGCAGCTCCCCGGGCATGCTGGGATCTGTAGTCTACAGGGCGCGAGGAGCCTGCCCGGCGGGAGCCCGACGCGGAGGTGGCCCTCGTCGCGACCCGTAGCCCCGGGCGCGGCCCCGGTGCACGACGGGGGTTGTAGTCTCCGGGGGCCGCACGCCGCGGGAGTCGGCCCAGGTGGCGCTGTGGTCCCAGTGACCGTGGCGGGCGGAGCCGAGGACGGTGTGTGATGGCTGCCGTGGCTGTGGCTGTTCGCGAGGGTGAGTGAAGGGCCGCGGCGCCCAGACAGGTGCGCGAGCCGAAGGACTTCGGGTGGGCGCTGCTGGGCCCGGAGCCCCTCTGGGCCCTGTCACTGAGTTCCGGCTCCGCGCCGGACCCGGGCCTGCACTGCCTGGGGCACAGCCCCGAGCCGCGTACCGGCTGGTTCCCTTGAGAAGGGTGGGTGTCCCCTCCTGCCTCCCGCCTCCTGCCTCCTGCCTCCCGCCCCCGCCTTCCCTTTGATCCTGCCGCGCACTGCGTCCCCACGCGGATCCCTGGCTTGCCTCCCGCCTGGTGGCGGAGCCCTGATCATGCCGACCCAGCAGCCAGCTGCGCCGACTCCGAGTCCCCCCAAACCCTCCCGGAGTCTTTCTGGATCACTGTGTGCTCTGTTTTCTGATGCAGACTCGGGATCTGGGATGAAGGCGGAGCTATCTCCTCGGCCCGGGGTAAGTGTGGGTGCCCTCCCGAGCCGCCTGTCAAACGGTGCGCAGGAGGCTGTGTCAGCCTCATTGTCCCAACCTGATTCCCGTTTCACTTTATTTCGCGGTAAAGCCAGGAGATTTTACAGAGTTCTTTCAACCCCAACAGTATGTGCCTCTGATCCTGGAGGAGAAGCTTTGATCTCCGTGGGATGTTGAGTTGTAAGCAGAGAGTGAGGGAGGATTAGAGACTTAACTTTGGGGGAATCTTGTAGACAGCCAATAGTGCGTCTTCACCTTTGGGATTGTCAGGGGTAAGAACAGTATTCTGTATGTGTCTCAGGCAGGGGGGAGGGAGATGACCCAAGAAGAGAAGCTTCAGCTTCGGAAGGAAAAGAAACAGCAGAAGAAGAAACGGAAGGAGGAAAAGGGAGCAGAACCAGAAACTGGCTCTGCAGTATCTGCAGCCCCATGTCAAGGTGCGGGGACTTTTTTTTTTAATAAAGGCCTGGGATGTGGAGCAGGTAGAGGGATGTGTGGGAGAGAAGAGTGGGAGGTGGGACAAAGTTCATTTGAAAAAGTGAGCAGTGAAGAGTGGATAAAGGGAGCGAGGCTTTGACTGGGGCTTTCATATCATCTGCCTGGAGCTTGGGAACCTCTTCCTTTTACGTTTAGTAGGCCCAACCAAAGAACTGTCTGGACTGGGCAGTCAGTTGGGCACTGCTAGGGAGAAAGTTCCAGCTGGTCGGAGTAAAGCTGAACTTCGTGCTGAGCGGCGGGCCAAGCAGGATGCCCAGCGGGCACTGAAACAGGCAAGAAAAGGGGAACAAGGAGGGTCAGCCCCTCAAGCCTGTCCTGGCACAGCTGGAGAAATCCCCTCAGGTATTTTTCCTTCATTTCAGCATCTCTATAAACTCTGATTGTTGTTTGATCTGGCCTTCCAATAGTAAGACACCTCTCCCCTCCCATTCTTCGCCTTGGGACCCAGAGTTCAAAATTCTTCTCCTAATCTTATCCTACTTCCACTTCTTTTTTAAGATTTTATTTATCTTTGCATGGGAGGACTGGGGTGTAGGCCAGAGGTGGGGGAGGGGAAGAGGGTTCACCAGAGACAGTGGGGAGCAGAACAGGCAGATCTACTGAAATACACTGCTGAGGGAAGCAGTGGGCGAGAAAGGAGAGGTCTGCTGCACCATATGTGGGTTAGGGATTGAACCCAGGCCATTGTGGTGGCAGCACTGAGACTTAACCCCTAGGCCACCAGGGAGGCCCTCCATTTCTTTTTTTTCCTCCTCCTCTGCCCAACTTTTCTTGATGTCCTTTAGGCCCTAAAAACAAGTTTCTCATGATCAACTGTTGTATCTTGAAGACATGACTGTTGTTTTTTAGGGGTGAAACGTCTCCCTGAGCAGACTCAGGTGGATGACCTCACACTTCTGAGAAGGCTTGTTAGAAAACCAGAGCGACAACAGGTAGGAAGGGTGGTTGGTGTGGTGTGCGGCCAGAAAGAGCCTCGGGAATGGGATTAAGGGAGGAAAGGTACTCTGTTGGGGCAAAAAGAAGGGCAAAGATGCTGAGAAGGATGGGGATTTAGCTAAAAGCAGTCTCACTGTGTACTTCCTTTCTAGCTTCATCCCATAAGTTTTACACTCTGGGCCTTTGGTCCTATTTCCTTGTTCTCAAGGTTCCTACACGAAAGGATTATGGATCCAAAGTCAGTCTCTTCTCCCACCTACCCCAGTACAGCAGACAAAACTCTCTGACCCAGTATATGAGGTAGGATCCTCTGAAATTGTCATAACTTTTAAGTAGGAGGGATTTTAGCAACTCAGTACTAAAAGTGACTGGAAACTTGAGGTTGAATAAATGGGAAGGAATGTGAATAAAAGGCAAAAAAAAAAAAAAAAAAAAAGGAAATGGGGGTGTCTATGCCGGTGAAGGAAGTTCCTGTTTATCAGGGGCAGATGGGCAGTAGATGCTCAAGCTCCCTTGCAAAGTGTGTGACACCGCCATCCCATCAGCATCCCATCCTCTGTGATCCACCCAGCCATGGTGCGCCTCGGCCTGCAGTATTCCCAGGGCCTGGTCAGTGGCTCCAATGCCCGGTGTATTGCCCTGCTCCGTGCCTTGCAGCAGGTATGCTCCCCTCCTGCCCCCTCTTATGACCCAATCCCACCCACCCTGACACTATCCCAGCTTTGGTTACCCACAGTAATCTCTAGGGCTAAGAGAGAATGACTCTGCCCTCAGTATACTTCACTCAGTAAATCTTACCCTTCTCCCCATTCACAAGCCTTTGTTAGGGGACATTTTGTTGACTAACTTGTATATCCCTTAGGTGATTCAGGATTACACAACACCACCCAATGAAGAACTCTCAAGGGACCTCGTAAATAAACTAAAGCCCTACTTCAGGTAAGGACAACCACAATACGGCCACTCCCACCTTGTCTGGTCCTGTACGCTTTCTCTTGCCCTTTTACCTCTGTCGTCTATCTCTATTTTCATATTTCTGTTCTCTGTCTTCTTTTTTAAAGAAATGTTTTTGAACTTGAGAGCTTTGTAAGTTGTAATGAGTTATACTTATGTGAGGTGTTATTGTTGTAGCTTCCTGACTCAGTGCCGCCCCCTGTCAGCAAGCATGTGCAATGCCATCAAGTTCCTTAACAAGGAGATCACTAGTGTGAGCAGCTCCAAGCGGGAAGAGGAGGTAATGTGTATGCTTGAAGAAGACATACACCTGGGGGTAGAGCTGAGACACACGTTTAGGGCCCCCAGGAATGCAGACATTCTGCCCTAGTCAAGAGTTAAAGAAGTGGTTGGACTGTCTGACTGTGCCACCTTTGGGTCCCTTTACAACCCTTTCAGTTCATTGTTACACACATGTTCCAGCCTTTGGCATGATGAGCAGAGGAAGAAATGTGTTCATTTATTGCTTCTTAAGCATCTTACTCCATTTAGGCCAAGTCAGAACTCCGAGCAGCCATTGATCGGTATGTGCAAGAGAAGATTGTGCTTGCAGCTCAGGCAATTTCACGCTTTGCTTATAAGAAGATCAGTAATGGAGATGTGATCCTGGTGTATGGATGGTACGGTTCGGAAGCTATGACTGAGAAAACTCGGGTGGGGGTGTGTGAAATGATCTGAAGAAGGGACTTCTCTTTGCCTTTAGGAACGAGCTGGCCACCAACCAGTTAGTGACATTTATAACTGAATCCTCCTCTTCATTCACTCCAGCTCATCCCTGGTATCACGAATTCTTCAGGAGGCTTGGGCTAAGGGCCGGCGGTTTCGGGTGGTAGTGGTGGACAGCCGGCCACGGCTGGAGGGAAGGCACACGCTACGTTCTCTTGTCCATGCCGGTGTCCCTGCCTCCTACCTGCTGATTCCTGCAGCCTCCTATGTGCTCCCAGAGGTGAGGGCAGAGAAAGGGACTCCGAAGTTGGAGATAAAAGGGTATAGTAGTAAAGACATAATCCCATCTTCTTCAGGTTGTAATTATTTGGAAATAATTAGAATTATATAACTGTTTTTATATGTAATAGGAAAAACATCTGCAAAATGTTATAGCACATTCTAGCTACAGCAAGAACTTTATATTAAACTAACAGCCACTAGGAGGGACCAGGATAAAAGTAAAGTTTAGAGTTTAGTTTTCTTGTGGGAGGTTTGATGGGTCAGTAGCCAGGTGTTTTCCATGAACAGCCTCTAGTAAGATTTATTACTCATTGTCTTAATATTGCTGCTGGGCAGGAGGGGTGAATTTTACCCCATAATAATCATCAATCGCATTTCTCTTCCCCCCCCCATCCCATTCTCCAAACAAATAGGTTTCTAAGGTGCTATTGGGAGCTCATGCACTCCTGGCCAACGGGTCTGTGATGTCACGGGTAGGGACAGCACAGCTGGCCCTGGTGGCACGAGCCCACAACGTGCCGGTGCTGGTCTGCTGTGAAACATACAAGTTCTGTGAGCGGGTGCAGACTGATGCCTTTGTCTCTAACGAGCTGGGTAAGAGCCCAGGAGGGCAGAAGAGAAGTCTCTAGGACCTGAGCAGATTTGGGAGGAAGAGGGGAGACTGAACTACAGCCTACTTTCTAAGAGGACATCATTGGGTACACCTCTCATTATAGATGACCCAGACGATCTGCTGTGTGAGCAAGGAGACCACATAGCCCTGGCTAACTGGCAGAACCACCTGTCCCTGCGGTTGTTGAATCTGGTCTATGATGTGACTCCCCCAGAACTGGTGGATCTGGTGATCACAGAGCTGGGGATGATCCCTTGCAGTTCTGTACCTGTTGTCCTCCGAGTCAAAAGCAGTGACCAGTGAGTGGGGGAACACAGGGTCAATAAATTACATACACTCTATGTTCAGCAACTCTGCTGCCTTTGTATCTCTTTTAACATTGCCACTACTTATGTTAGGAGTCTAGACTTCCCAACACCTCTTAGCATCTGCTACCACCCTCAGACCTTTATGAAGATCCTCTGAAATGTCTAGTTCCATGTCAGTGCTTTGGGGCCAGAGGTCAAAAAAACTATCCAACCATTAACCATTTATTGAATATCTGTATTCCAAACCCTGAGCTAGATATGAGGAGCAATATAAGGACAAATGAAAGTCCATGGTATTATTAACTAAGCCAGTGTGTGATCTCAGGCATTCTGGATCCAGAGACTGTGCCCTTAATTGTTTGTTATGCTATCTGCCATTAAGGAGCACTATTGGAGGAGGAACACAGGCAATATCTATAGTATGACATAAATTCTAGTAGTGTGAATGGAGTTCCTTCTAAGGATGATGCCAGGTTTTATGAGGTTGAAAACCTCATAACAGGTAACATCTGACCTTGTCCTTGAAGGGTAAGTTTTCCAGTTGGAAAGGAATGGAAAGGCATTGCTTCTCAGCATTTCGGCTAAGATCAAGTGTATTATCTGTTTTTATCAGTTTAATATCTGATGTATCCTCTATCTGAGGATAATACATTAAATGGATTTTTGGAGCAGGGAGATGGAATAGGAACTTGCTCCATCCACTCCACGCATCCACCTGGTATTACACTGTTCCACTCCATGGAACAAAATTTAAAAAAATGAAAAGAAATATAAAGGCAGATCAGCAGTAGAAATAACTTGAACACAAAGACAGAGTAGGCTTAAAATAGCGGCCAGTTCCAAAGTGTCAAGTAGGTTGGTGAGGCTAGACCCAAGAATCATTTGGAGACCTCGTGATAAAGCAGCAAAGGTAGGTAGATTACCAGAGTCTACTCATTGTGGTCAGCCAAAAAAAAAAAAAATGGAGGTATTCATTTTGTGTGTGCGTGTATGTGTGGGTATTTTATTGAAAAATCTCACAGTAGTAGAATGAACTATACAAAGAATCTGGGGCCTCCCTGGTGGCACAAGGGGTTAAGTCCCAGCACTATCAAGCTATCATCAGCCACTGCAGCAAAAGTGGATCACGGATCAGGGAGCCACCCACATGGGGCAACAGACCTCCTCTGCCTCAACCACTGCTCCCCTCAGCATTGTATTTCAGTAGATCTGCCTGTTCTGCTCCCCACTCTGTCCCTGGTGAATCCTCTCACCTCCCACACCTCTGGCCTATACCCCAGTTCTTGTATGCATAAATAAAAAAAAAAACCTTAAAAAAAAGAACCCCATCACCAGATGCAATTATTTATCAAGTTTCACATTTGTTTTTAACAGTTTAACTTGCTGATGTTGGAGTAAACCCCAGACATTATAACACTCTTACAAACACAGCATGTGTCTCTTAAAAGGTATAGGAATTTCCATGTCATTACTTAGTATTATCCAACCTATAATAAAAGCTTTCTTGATTGTGTTAAAAATAGTTTCCTATAGTTGATTTGAATAGGATCCAAGTAAATCCACATTTATTTTTTAAAAAAGATTTATTATATTTATGTATGCATACAAGAGCTGGGGTGTAGGCCAGAGGTGTGTGTGTGTGAGCGGACTCACGAGAGACCGTGGGGAGCAGAACAGGCAGGTGTACTGAAATACACTGCTGAGGGGAGCAGTGGGCAAGGCAGGAGAGGTCTGCTGCGCCATGTGGATCAGCTCCCTGGCCGGCAATCGAACATGTGCTGCAGTGGCTGCAGATGGCTTTACGGTGCTGACACTTAACCCCTTGCGCCACCAGAGAGGACCGACCCCCACGCTACATTTTCTGCTCCTGCTCCCTTTCATGTCCTTTTTCCAAGCCCCTTTCAACTGATTCTGTCTTGGGTCCATCTGGACTTCCCTAGTGGCTGGATCTGCAAGGACTGCCCCGTCGTGGAGACCGGAATCGTTCTCGGGCAGCCTCCTTTGTTTCCGGGTAAAGAGTCTCGCATCCAGCCTAGCCCTGCCATCACATCTGGTAGTCTCGACGAATCTCGAGGATTCGGTGCTCGTATACACGAGGCTCGCGCAGAGGCCGCCCCGCTGGGGGGCGACGAGCGCCACTGCGCAGGCGCCGGTCTTCCTTTCTGGACACTGCAATTCCCAGAAGGCCACGCAGCGTTCCCTGCGCCGCTAAGCCCTGGAGCCGGGCCCGCGCGGAAAGGGCTCGGGGCCGTCGCCGCGCTGCATTATGGAATACATAGTCTAATAGAAAGGTCTCGGAGCACAAACTCCCGACGAGCTCACGTGTTTACTTAGTACACTGGAGGGTGGGGTTGCAGGAAAAGTAAATGAGACGTAGCTACAGGATTTCGTCATAAAACCGCGACCAGACAGGCGGCGCCATCTTCGAACTTGGACTTCCGGAAGGACTTTGGCGAGGGTGAGTGTGCCGCTGCGGGGTGTGCTGGGGGCCCCACGATTACTCCTCCCCCTTCTTTTCTGGTATCACTAAGATAGTGGGGACCAGCTGCCGGCTGCGCTATTCCCTTTCTGCACTGCATCGCGACCCCCAGTCCCTGCGCTGCTGCAGAAAGCATCATGCTCCCCACCTCCTTCCCCACGGTGGCAACCGTGCATCCCTCATCTCTGCTATCTACAGGTCTTGCCTTCTTCCTCCACGCGGTGCCCGTAACACTGCATCCTGTGTCCCGGCCAGGCGCCGCTGACACTGCGTCCTTTGGACTCTGCGAACCTAGAGTAGTCCTCAGTCTTCGAAAATTGGGGGCTGGCCTCCGGCACAATGTGGTAGTGAAAGCTGCGCCCGCGCCCAGGACTGAGGATGGGCAGGCGGTCACCCCTATAGTGGTTACGGGTCAATCTCCTATTGCGTCCAACATCTTCCTGAATTTGGCTCTTCCAGCCCTTGGGTTTGTGTCCCGCGCGCTGCAACCCCATTGACTCAGCCAGGGTCCAGTTATGTTTCTCTGTCTAGTCCTTTAATCCCAAAGCAAGTTGGCTGTCTGCTGGGGAAGACAGAGGTGGCGACTTCACCCCCACCCCTGGTAACAAACTCTGTTACAGGGCTGTAAGGTATGGCCAAATATATTTGTCCCAACGGCATATTGTTACACAAACTTAAGTCATTTCTGTGCTGTCCTCACTTTTTGCTATTCCTTCTTACAAACTGTATTATCGTTTTGTAATTGGTTTCTTTCAGTTAATTTCAGTGTCTAAGTGCTTTAATCTTGAGGTAAGCAATATAGATGAAATTGGGTTTCATGGGCTAGTTATAAAAACACAATCATATGAAGGTGTTCATTTTTGTGCCACTAGAATCATCAACCATTTGTAACATAGGAACACTTCAGCTAACAATGTGTTACATAAAATAGTGTGTTTAAAGTAACTCCATACTTAAGGGACAGTGTGATCTGATTATTTTTCTTGGCTGGAGAGGTCAGGCTGGAAGCCTGGAGCAGCATGGGAACCAGAGAAGTTGGGGTGCAAATATAAAATTTTACAAACTCGAGTGAAAATTTGCTGACCATCCCTTCCTTGACAAGTGTTCAAAGTTTGTGTTGTGAAATTGCAAATGGAAATTAATCACCACACCTTGCTGCTGCCTCCTATGAGAAGTGAATCCTTGAAGGGATTTTTGTATATTGAGAAGTTAGCTGTTTAATCAATAAGCTTTCAATTATTGTGCTCACCTTGTAGCAGTTTCTGGATACAGTAGTGAATCAGATAGGCAAGAGCCCTGTCTTACAAAACTTTCAGGGAAGATAGATGTGAAATAAGTAAATATACATATTTCTTTTAAGAAAAATTCAGGTGGACTGAGAGCTACCTTTAACATCCCAAAGTAGCAAAATTATTAGAAGAAAATTTCCTATTTAGGATGAAGCAGGGTAATTAAACCATCAAGACAGTTTCAGAAGTTTGAGAGAAGGAGGAGGAATATGGGTCAAAGGATAGTTGTATGTGTATTAAGATGAAAACTATGAACATATGTAAGTGCTCTTTTTTAAAAAATTCATTTATTTATGCATACAAGTGCTGGGGTACAGGCCAGAGATGTGTGTGGGGTATGTGTGTGAGAGGATTCACCAGAGACAAGAGTGGGGAACAGAATAGGGAGATTGAATGAAATATACTGCTGGGGGGAGCAGCGGTGGAGTCAGGAGAGGTCTGCTGCGCCATGTGGGTTGCTTCTTGGCTGGAGGGGGATCGAACTCGTGCTGCAGAGGCTGGGGATTGCTTCATAGTGTGATGCTTAACCACTTGCGCCACCAGGGAGGCCCCTCTAAGTGCTCTTTGGAAGGAGCCCATGAAAAGAAAAGATTAAACAATTCCAGTTTCGTGGAAGTGGGGTAGTGGGGCTACAACACAAGTGGAAGGTTTGGCCTTGGAAAGTGGATAAGGGGTTCAGAGGCTGGAAAGTTAGGTCACTCATCGAGAAATAGAAGTATTTCCCACTGGATGGATTTAGTTTGTTTTTAGTATCAGAGGCAGAGTAATCTACTGAGATTACTGTGCATCAGGCATTAGAGTGGAAAGAGTATGGGAACAAGTAGAAGGTATGATTGCTTGGGTGGTTGGTTCATCCAGGGCTTGAATTTCATTAGCCCTGTGAAACAAAAAGAAAAAAAATGAAAGGAAGTTCATAATATCAAAAAGTGTGTGATTAAAATAAAGGAACCTAAGCTAGATAGGATACGGGCAACATAGGGAGAAATTGGAAACATTAATGGAAAGTGGCTTGATATGATTGAAGAATTGACACAGTGATAGTCGTTGAGCAGTCTAGGTGGAATGATCAGATACTGAGATGGCTTAGTGATTTTGGACGTTAATAGGTTTGGTGGGCCTCCCTGGTGGCGCAAGGGGTTAAGCACTGCAGTATGACACAATCCCCATCTTCTGTGAGTTCCATCCCTGATCCCCGGCTGGCCAGGGAGCAGCCCACATGGCGCAGCAGACCTTTCCTGTCTTGCCCGCTGCTCCCCTCAGCCGTGTATTTCAGTCCATCTGCCTGTTCTGTCTGGTGAATCCTCTTCCCCCCCGCCCCCCGTATCTCTGGCCTGTGCCCCAACTCTTGTATGCATAAATAAATAAATCTTTAAAAAAATAGGTTTTGTGTGCTGATAAGCAGGGTATGACAGTAACAGTGGTTTAGTGGGATATTCCAGACTTTAAAGAAATAAGGTTTTTACAAGAGAAAGCACTGTTGACTTGGAAGTGACATTAGAGGGGAATTGAGAAGACAGTGATCCCACTTTCTACCTTGTGTTAAGTGGGCTATGAGCGAATGAGCAGTCTCCGTGTGAGAGCCTAGACACCTAGAAATTTCATTCTTGCAATTTTTTCATCCTAGATTTCCATCCTAGAGCCTCTTTAGATCTTGCCCATTAAATGTGCTCTTGAAGAACTCAATCTTAGACTTGAGTTGTTTTTTTTTTTTTTTTTTTAAGATTGATTTATTTATGCATATAAGAGCTCTGGCACAGGCCAGAGATGTGGAGGGGTGAGAGGATCCACCAGAGACAGAGTGGGGAACAGAACAGCCAGACTGACTGAAACACATTGCTGAGGGGAGCAACGGGTGAGACAGGAGAGGTCTGCTGCACCATGTGGGTTTCTCCCTGGCTTGCTCGGGATCGAACTCGTGCTGCAGAGGCTGGGGATTGCTTCATAGTGTGGTGCTCAACCCCTTGCACGACCAGGGAGGCCCAATCTTAGACTTGAGTTTAGATAGAAGAGAGGCAGGGCAGGAATCTCAGGCATTTTGCTGGTGCAGACTGTGGCTGTACTGTGGTTCTGAATCAGAACCAGAGAAGGGTTTTCCCCATTTATATAGGTTGCTTTCTGATTGCAGAGGTAACCTAAGGGGCCATCAGCTATGGCAATGGCTTCTTGATTCAGCAGGTGGCTCCTCATTACGGCATAGGAGAGACCATGTGGTTCTTGAACCAGCAGCTTTAAAACATCTTCCCAATCTGACTAGCACTTGTTCCTAAACTTTTCCCCCAACTCTTGTGATCCTGCATGTAAGTGGTTCTTACTTTGAGTATGCATCAGAATGACCTAAAGAACTAGTTAAATTGTATCTCATAGTTTCTGAGTTAGTAGGTCTGTGGTGGGACTAGATATTTGCATTTTAATAAATTTCCAAGGGATGCTTGGAAACCATACTTTGAGAGCCACTAATGTCAATCATATAATATCTTGTGATGAATCCTTTTTAGCTTGAACTCTTTACAGAAGAACTGAACGTGGACCAATATAGAGGTCATTATTTTATTCACTTCATCTCTGTTCTTATCTACTTGACCTGTCAATGATTAGAAGTAATTTTTAAAAACCTGAAGATTTTGCTTGATATATTTTGCTGCTGTGTTGTTAGATGTCTAAAGGTTTATGATGTTTATATCTTTTATATGATTTAAGAATTAAAAAAAAAATTTATTTATTTATACAAGCACTGGGTACAGTCAGAAGCATGGGAGGGTGAGAGAATTCACCAGAGCCAGAGCGGGGAGCAGAACAGGCAGACTGACGAAGCACACTGCTAAGGGGAACAGCCGGTGGGGAGGAGAGGACTGCACGCCATGTGGGACCCTCACCAGCGGTCGGGGATCAAACCGGCGCTGCAGAGGCTGCGGGCAGCTTCGCAGCGCTCAACCGCTGCACCACTGGGGAGGCCCTTTAAGAATTTTTATTCACTAAAAAATATTGCCTTTTTGCCTCACTTAATACTGCCCCATGAATTCTACTTGATTACCATTGAAACTCTTATTTTTTAAAAAAAATTTTATTTATTTATGCATACAAGAACTGGGGTATAGGTCAGATGTGTGGGAGTGTGTGGTGAGGGGCTTCACCAGAGACAGAGTGGGGAGCAGAACAGGCAGATGGACTGAAATACACTGCTGATGGGAGCAGCGGGCATGTCAGGAGAGGTCTGCTGCGCCATGTGGGTCACCTCCCTGGCCAGGGATCAAACTCATTCTGCAATAGCCGTTCTGCAATACCTGGGGATTGCTACATAGTGCTGATGCTTAACCCCTTGTACCACTAGGGAGGCCCTAGAAATCTGCATTTTGAGATCATCCTGTTGCCTGTACATGAATAACATCCTAGTTTAAGAATTTTCTTTCTTTTTTTTCTTTTTTAAATTTTTAGATTTTTTTTAATGGTTTATTTATTTATGCATACAAGAGCTGGGGCACAGGCCAGAGATACTGAGGGGTGAGAGAATTCACCAGAGACAAAGTGGGGAACAGAATAGGCATACGGACTGAAATACACTGCTGAGGGGAGCAGCGGGCGAGACAGGAGAGGTCTGCTGCACCATGTGGGTTCCCTGTCCGGCTGGGGATCGAACTCGTGCTGCAGAGGCTGAGGATTGCTTCATAGTGTGGTGCTGAACACCTTGTGCCACCACGGAGGCCCTCTTTCTTTTTTTAAAGATTTATTTATTTTTGCATACAAGAACTGGGGTGTGGGCCAGAGGTGCGAAGTGGTGAGAGGATTTACCAGAGACAGAGTGGGGAGCAGAACAGGCAGAGACAGAGTGGGGAGCAAAACAGGCAGATTGACTGGAATACACTGCAGTGGGGGGCAGCAGGCGAAAAGGGAGAAGTATGCTGTGCCATGTGGGTAGCTCCCTGGCCAGGGATTGAACTTGTGCTGCATGGCTGTGAATTGCTTCATAGTGTTGTGCTTAACCCCTTGTGCCACCAGGGAAGCCTCCATCACATTTTACATCATTCATCATTATAACTGGTGCATCATGTTATGTTACTAGACATTTTGTGAAAACAGTGCCCCTGGAGGATAATTAATATTTTCCAAGTGCTTCCTCTTCCCTCCCAAATAATTCTGTCCTAAAACTGTTATATAGGGCAGAGCAGGCAGGCGCTCTTGCCGGGAGCTGTCTGGTGTAGATGACAAAACTTGAGTGAAATGAGAGAGGCCATCGTTGGGGAAGACAGAGTGACTCTGGGGTGACTGGAGAGCTGGTCCTGGGCATATGGGCCTTCTCATGCTCTTCTCCTGGGAATGTGCATTTCTAGAAACTGCTCCAAGGAGGCAACCTTGGAATTGTCTTGATGTACCTAGTATTTCATTATCTCCTGGCATCAGGCGTTTCTGAGAACTCTGAATCTTACTTGACTTTTTATCTTTCTAGGGCAAATTTAGTATCTTCACTCAGCTATTTCTTTTTCTTGTGATTTGTTACTGATTTTTTAATTTTTCTTTTACACACTAAGCCCTATTGATCTATAGATTGAGATTTTCCTTTTTTTTTTTTTTTAAATATTTATTTATGCATGCGAGAACTGGAGTACAGGCCAGAGGTGCCGGAGGTTGATAGGATTCACCAGAGACAGAGTGGGGAACAGAACAGGCAGACTGATTGAAATCACTGCTGAGGGGAGCAGTGGGTGAGACAGGAGAGGTCTGCTGTGCAATGTGGGTAGCTGCAGTAGCTGCAGGTAGCTTCATAGTGCTGTGACTTAACCTCTTGGGCCACCAGGGGAGGCCCTGAGGTCTTCCTTTATTTTAGGAAAGAATTTTTGTTTTTAAATCTTTTTTATTAATTTTATTTATTATTGAGAGTATTCTTATTTTTATTTCAGGAAATTTTTTTCTGTTAAATTTTTTTTTTAATAGAGGCATGTTTTATTTATTTGTTTGTTTGTTTGTTTGTTTGTTTTGTTTATACATGCACTGGGTCCAGTCAGAAGCGCGGGAGGGTGAGAGAATTCACCAGAGCCAGAGCGGGGAGCAGAGCAGGCAGAAGGACCGAAGTACACTGCTGAGGGGAGCAGCGGGCGGCAGAAGAGGTCTGCGCGCCATGTGGGACCCTCCTCAGGTGGCCGGGGAGCAGCCGGGGATCAAACCGGCGCTGCAGAGGCCACGGGCAGCTTCGCAACCCAGCGCTCAACCGTTGCGCCACCAGGGAGGCCCTCTGTTAAATTTTTGAAGTTCTTTTTTCAGTTCCCATTTTTCTTTGCTTTTTAAAAAAATACATAGTGAAAAAAATTTATTTACAGTTAGCCAGCTGGGCTCAGTTTAGATGATCCCAATTTTGTTGGCAACATCCAAAGCATTATAGTCAGGAGCCAGTCGGACATATGCCTCCTTCTCTCCAACAGGTGTGATCAAGGTGTTGACCTTGGCACATCAACATCAAGAACCGCTGCTTTTTCCTGTCAAGCTTTTCTTCACAGCGTGTTCAATGTAATGCTTGTTGGGCCTTGACATCCACAGTGAACACAAGTGTGTTGTTGCTCTTCTTCATGGCTAACTCATTGGTCAAGGGGAACCACTGATGGCATAGTGGTCAAGCTTGCTTCTATTGGGGGTGCTCTTTCCAGGATATTTGGGTTACCTTCAGAGCTGCAATGTCTTGTGCCCCCAGAAGGTGGTGATGTGTGGATCTTCATTTTTTTCTTTAATTTCTTGTTGTAGATGCCTCTCAGCACTGCTTTCATGGCCTTCAGAGTTTTGGCTTTGGGAAGAACACCTGTGTGGGAAAAAAAATAAAGCTGCCCTCTCTTCAGGAATATCATTTATTCTTACGTTGGCTCTCTGCTTTGTCTTTTCCATCTATATCATCTTCTCACTAATCACTTCTATCTCTCTGTAATCTGTGTGGTTCTTGACCTGTCCTCTGTATCACAGGTTCTCTCTTCAGGAGTTAGTTTCTGTGTGTAGCTTCTCTGGTTTTCATTTCTATGACTTTGTTCTTTTATTCGTCTTTTTTTTTTTTTTTTAAAGATTTATTTATTTGTGCAAGCACTGGGGTACAAGCCAGAGGCGCGGGAGGGTGAGAGAATTCACCAGAGACAGAGCAGGGAGCAGAACAGGCAGAAGGACTGAAATACACTGCTGAGGGGAGCAGTGGGTGGGACAGGAATGGTCTACCGTGCCATGTGGGATTCTTCCTGGCTGGCTGGGAATCAAACCGGTACTGCAGAGGCTGCGGATAGCTTCACAGTGCTGCACTCAACCCGCTGCACCACCGGGGAGGCCCTCTTTTACTCATTTTCATCCTGTGACTGCTAACTTACTTTTTACCTTTCTATTTTATCTCTTCTTTGATTTCTTGTTTCTTAGATTCCACAGTCTCTCTCTCTCTCTTTTTTTTTTTTTTTGAAAATACAGAAGATTTTGTGGGAAATTTCTTCTTTTTTTAAAAAATATTTATGCATACAAGAGCTGGGGTGCAGGCCAGAGATACTGAGGTGGGGGGGGGGGGAGAGGATCCGCTAGAGGCAGAATGGGGAACAGAACAGGCAGACTGACTAAAATACACTGCTGAGGAGGGCAGCGGGTGAAATAGGAGAGGTCTGCTGAGCCATGTGGGTTGCTCCCTGGCTGGCCGGGATTGAACTCATACTGCAGAGGCTGAGGATTGCTTCACAGTGGGGTGCTTAACCCCATGCATCACCAGGGAAGCCCCTGTTGGAAATTTTCTTCTGTTTTCTGGAGCAGTCTTTGAAAGGTTATTTTTCATCTTTTTTTCATTTGTTTGCCTGTGTCTTTTCCATTTGTTCTGTAGTAGCTATATGCACAGGTCCTATTTGGATCCTTTTTGTCTGTTTTGCTAAATTTTGAATGTGGTACTTCTGTGAGGGCTTGCTATTTACCACAGAACTGTGTAGGTAGATTCTCACAGACTCCTACTTACCTTGGCTATTTTGTATCCTTAGTACTTGGGTTAGAGGATTGGTTGTTACTATAGTTTATAATCCTGCTCAGACTGTAGTTTATTCAAGAGAGACAGTTGAGAACTTTTAATTTTCTGTATTTGTATTAGCTGAGGCTGATTATTTCCTTATACTTAAGTCATATACAGACATTGGCGCGGTGGGGGGGGGGGCTGGAATTCCCTCCTGGGATTTGAGCTGTTTCTCCTCCCTTTTTCTTAGACAAAATGTTCACACTTGCAGAGTTCTATGCTCAGGTTTTTGGTTTAGTGGTCAGTGTTTTGTTTGTCTCTGTCAGTCTATTTTAGTTCTTGGTTGCACAGCTGATTTTCTGGGCTAGAGGAAAATGAAGATTCATGTTCATTCTTCAGTGTGGAAAGGGTCTCAGTGGTAGGATGTGGTGGGATGTTCCCTAACTGCCTCATAGTCTACCACTTCCCCATCCAGGTGAAAGCTTGGTGGCAGGGTACTAACTCTTTTATTCATTCTTAAATGAATCCTTTCCTTGACTAATACTCTCAAAGATGGAAGTCAGTTCTAGTCATCTTCCTTCAGTTCAGTCTACATTTTATAGTATCTGGCTGCTATTCTTTATAGTCTGTTTTAGGAAACCATGGCTTCCTAAAGCTGTAATATATATTCCTTCTCTCTTGCTCTGTAACTTTATTGGTTTTTCAGGAAGGAAGTATCAACTAATCCTTTTTTTTTTAAAGATTTATTTATTTATGCATACAAGAGCTGGGATACAGGCCAGAGGTGGGGGGGTGGATGGGAGGATTCACCAGAGACAGAGTGGGGAACAGAACAGGCAGATTGACCAAAGTACACTGCTGAGGGAGCAGCGGGCAAGACAGAAGAGGTCTGCTGCGCCATGTGGGTTGCTCCCTGGCTGGCCGGGAATCGAACTCATGCTGCAGTGACCGCGGATTGCTTCATAAGTTGTTGCGTCTTAACACTTGTGCCACCAGGGAGGCCCAGCGAAGTATCAACTAATCTTAAGAGCTTTAAATTAAGTTATATAAATAAAGCACTAAATATAGTGCTTGGCAGTTAATAAATGCTAACTATTGGTTTTGTCATATCACCAGCTCCTAGAGCAGTGCCTAACATTTAAAAGATGCTTAGTAATCATTGTTGAATGAATGCATGATCAGGGCAGAGGGGCTTGGATTTCTGATTTAGAGGGCATAGTGAGAGGAGGAGGAGAGAGGAAACTAGAGAAATCTGAGCCAGTGGAAATAGCTTTTGCCTTCTACTCATTTGTATGTCTCTGCAGGAGCAGCCATTTTAGGGGGTGCTGATGGATACCTGCGGGGTCGGCTATGTTGCCCTGGGGGAGGCCGGCCCCGTGGGAAGTATGACTGTAGTAGACTCTCCTGGACAAGAGGTGCTAAGCCAGCTTGATATCAAGGTCTCTTCAGAAACAACCAGTGCAGAAGCTTCCATAGAGATGTCATTACCTACCCCTTTGCCCGAATATGAAGAGTCTCTTGATGAGAGTATGCTCCCTCCAGAACAAGAAAGCCTCTCCAGATTGGAGCAGCAAGGTATGTACCTTGTCCTATCATCTTCCTACCTTTCCATGCTTAGATGAAAGAGAACAGGTTGAACTCACAGGGTCTTACAGACCTGGGTATGGTGTTATCTATTCCAAAGAGGTTTGAGAGTTGGTCCCATCTCACAGACCCATATTCTTCTCTACAGATCTTTCTTCAGAGATGTCAAAGGTCTCAAAGCCTAGGGCCTCAAAGCCTGGCCGGAAGAGAGGTGCTAGGACACGGAAAGGCCCCACAAGGCCCCAGCAACCTAACCCTCCATCAGCCCCTCTGGTTCCTGGTCTCTTAGATCAATCCAACCCTCTACCCACCCCCATGCCTAAGAAACGAGGTCGAAAGTCCAAGGCAGAGCTGCTACTCCTGAAGTTGTCAAAAGGCCTAGATCAGCCAGAGTCTCCACCTCCAAAGAGGCCCCCTGAGGACTTTGAGACCCCTCCTGGGGAACGACCCCGCCGAAGGGCTGCCCAAGTGTAAGGATTGTGGGGCACAGCTTGGTGGAAGGGGGGTTGGGGTGAAGGGCTTGGGGTGGGGCACATGTTGGCGAGCTGAGAAGACTCATGAGCAGGTAATGGGGGCTGGTGTCTGGGTTCTGTGCCCTGTCAGTAGCCTTCTGCCTTGTACCACGGCATCTTTGACGTGTTGCTACCTTGGTCTGTCTTAGAGGTTTCTTTCTGTTCCTGTATCTTCCAGGCCCTCATTTCATCACATGTAAGCGTATATATGTGTTCTTCTCTTTCTTCCCTTCGCCCTCAATGTTGTTTGACTGAAGGGTGCTTTAGAGTTGAAGTCAGACAACCTGGGTTTGGATTCCACATGTTATGTGAATCTTCTTGGTCAAGTCACTTCACTGCCCTGGACTTCTGTTTCTTTATCTGTCAAAGGGGAGGGGAAATGAAAAGCTGCTTCACAGGGTCACTGGGAAGACCCCGTGAGATAAGACTCAGCCACATGTCCAGAAAAGTGGGCTCTCACTTAAGTGTTTGTGAGTATGACTCTGAGACTTCCTCATCCCACAGGGCACTTCTGTATCTTCAGGAACTGGCTGAAGAACTCTCAACAGCCATGCCTGCGCCAGTGTCCTGTCCTGAGACCCCTAAGGACAGCAGCCCCACCAAACTGAAGAAAAGCCAGCAGCAGGCAGCCTGTCAAGGCGGAGAACAGGATGATACTGCACGGGATGAAGACTTTGTTCTCCAGGTCGAGGCTGAAGATGGAGAAGAAAGTGAGGTCCCAAGTGAGAGCTCTTCTGACCCCGAGCCTGCGGTGCCTCAAAGCACCTCACGAGGATCCACTTCAGGGGTAATATAAATGGACAAGAGAAGGAATGGGAAAATAGCGTTATTAAGGGGTGAGCGGGGTGCCCAGGGGAAAAGCTTCAGCTTAGTAACTATGATGACCAAAGTAGAAGGAAGGAGCAACTTTAGAAACAGTTGATATTGGGGGGGGGTGGGGGCGGGAGACAGAGGGGCTGAAGGTGAAAGTAAAAAGATTATTCACTCATATATTGAGTATGCTTTGCTAGGAAACACAGACACGAATAAAACAGAATCCTGCTCCTGCCTCTCAGAGTTCACAGTGGGATAAGTGCCACCAGCCACCTGGAGGACAGGTAATTACTGCTTAAGCTTCACAGAGGAGTGAAAGTCGGGCTAGTTCCTGAAAGGTGGATAGAAGCTTGCCCGAGAGGGTCGTTTTCCCAGAAATTGATTGTGACTGCAGCCCAGGGCCTAGGGAAAAGTGGTGGGGAGATTAGAGAGGATGAGAAGACTAAGACTAAGAAGGGTGATTGTCTATTTGTTTAATTATGGTAAAATATATAGGTAACAAAACTTAACCATTTCAAGTGTACAGTTCACTGGCTTACGTAATGATGGATACCTGTGGGTATCCACAACCTTCTACAAGGTTCCATTTCCGAAATTTCTTCATCATCCCAAATAGAAACTCTGTACAACAAAAGTTTCTGGTAGAAAAATTACATGATAGGTTAGGAAAACAGGTCGAATTGCATTTGACAATCAGAAGACAGCTTCAGTATTCCTGGTGGAGACAGTGAGGACATGAATCAAGCAATAAGGGCTGGGTGGGGGTGTGTGGGGGGAGGTTCCAGGGATGTAGAAGAGAATTAACAGCACTTGAGAGTTAAAGAAAGGAGCAGCAGTTTCTTGCTTCCATGGTGCTCTCTAGCACTGGACTCAGGAACACAGGGAGTGTGGGAGGTGCAAGAGGGATGAAGCTCGACAGGGGAGGTAGTGAGTTCTCCTTCTAACGTGTTGACTTGGAGGTGCTGGTGGGTGATTGGCCATCCTCTGGTTGCTGGTGCCTTGTCTCAAGTGCATTAGTTGGGGAGCACCCAGTAATCAAGATAAATATTTCGATGCAACATTGGATAAAATCAGAATTAATGCAACAAATCTATGATGAACCAGATAACATTTTAAGTAAAGAGAGGAACTGTTTCATTGATTTTTCTTCTTGCTTCAGGCTCTAATATGGCTCTGGCTCAGCACCATACTGTAGGGGTCTAGAATTTGTTGGAACTGAGTCAAGTTTATACTTACTAAGATGTAAACTTGATAGTGAGACATGACAGTAGTAGCCAAAGCCCTGGGACATAGGATAAGATTACTGGGGCAAGCCTTAGAGAGGGTTGAGAGGAAGGCAGAGGGACTCAGGTATATTGTCATTGACCAGCGGGATAGCCAGGAACATGAAAAAAGGTGGGAGGAAGGAGAGCCTATCCCATAGGACAGGCATTTCAAGAAGCACATGGGAGTCTTCTGAATCAAATGTTGGGAGATACCAGCAGCGATGGGCACAAAATAAATAACACACTTTGCAGTTTTGATGAAGAAAGGTGGAGAAGTCACTGTAATGGCTGACATTTAAGTCTTTGGAAAGGCCCTCTGAAGGCAGAGATTGGAGGGGAAGTAGTGCCAAGAAAAGCAAGATCTGGGAAAGATGTCTCTTGGGAACTTTCTCCAGCCTGTCAGATTCGCTCTCTAATACATACATCCTTCAATTTGACCCCTAGAAGCAGAAACCACACTGTCGGGGAATGGCTCTCAATGGCTTGCCAAATCACATCATGGCTCCAGTTTGGAAGTGCTTTCATCTCACCAAGGATCTGTGAGACTTAGGGAAGGGTGCCTGGGGTGAAGGGGTTGGTGGGGGTGGGGGATCTTAAGCCAGAGAACACTGACCACTGCCACCATTCATAAAAGGTGCTGCTCCAGAGGCAAGAGCTCTGTAGAACTGTGCTGTCTGATATGATAGCAACTACCCACATACAGCCACTTACATTTAAATTGTTAGGGCCTCTCTGATGATGCAAGGAGTTACGTGTCAGCCCTGTGAAGACATCCATAGCCACTGCAGCACGAGTTCAATCCCTGGCCAGGGAGCTACCCACATGGCACAGCAGACCTCTCCTGTCTCACTCACTGCTCCCTCAGCAGTGTATTTCAATCGATCTGCCTGTTCTGCTCCCCAATCTGTCTCTGGTGAATTCTCTCACTTCCCTGCACCTCTGGCCTACACCCTAGCTCTTATATGTATAAATAAATAAATCTTTAAAAAATAATAAATTTAAATTGTTAAATAAGTGTGAAAGTCCACGTTAGCCATCAAAGATGCACTAGTCACATTTCAAGTGCCCAACTGCTACTGGCAGCTTGTGCGCTGTATACGGGACTGCCCTGTTCTAGAACCGCTTCTCCTTCATTAATGCTGCTTCCGTTCCTTAGCCGAGAACAGAAGCATTCATACTGGGAGTTTGCAGAATGGATTCCTTTAGCCTGGAAGTGGCAGTTGTTATCTGAACTGTAAGTTGAAGAGACATCTCTGAAGCTGTGGAGGCATAGCAGGGAGGTGTCACCCTTGGGGATAGAAAGGTGACAGAGGAGAACTGTAGATTTATAATGGGAGTGCTGGGGTGGGTGAAACTCTTCCAAGTTCAAGCTGTTTCCTTTGCCTTTCCCCAGGGAGGCAGCGCCCTACCTGCCCCAAGAGGAAAAATCGCCACTCTTTTCTGTGCAACGGGAAGGGCTTCCTGAAGATGGCACACTCTATAGAATAAACAGGTGAAAACTGTTTTTTTCTGACTGTAGGAGACAACAGGGAGAATGAATGTTAAAAGAGACAACAGAATGGCACCATCCTTCCCATGTTGCTGGTTCACTTGGCCCCAAAGGTGGGAGTCACAGAAAGATCTGGAAATCCCCTCCGATTTGCTGTTCTCCTCACTGCTGGTCAGATTGAGGGCAGCTAGGGAGGTTGAGGGTCAAACCAATTTACCAGGTCACATCTACTCAGATGGATCAGGGCAGACTGACCTGAGGGAGAACACTGGGAAGCTAGAGGGCACTGCTTATTGTCTTTGAAGGTGACCTAGTGCTAGAGACATAGTAGCTAAGGGCCGCTCTCACCTGTAGGCTCTTGTGATGTTCTCGTTCTGACAGTTCATACTCACTGTCACTGTAGGTAGAGCTCCCATTCTGTCCTCATTACCGGCTCGTTTTTTTTTTAAGACTATATTTTTAGGGCAGTGTAAGGTTCATAACAAAATTAAGGGGAAAGTACAGAGAACGCCATATCCCCCACCCCCGTCCCCCACACACAGTCTTCCCCACTGTCAGTCTCCCTCACCGCACTGGTGTTTTTGTTACAACCCATGAACCATTGACACATTATCTCAAATCCATGCTTTACAGTCATTCGGTCTTATTCTTGGTGTTGTATGTTCTGTGGGTTTGGAAAAATATGTAGACATACATGCATCCTATAGAACCTATTATCACTCTGAAACTCCTCTGTGTTCCGCCTGTTCATCCCTTTTCCCTACACCAACCACTGAACTTTACCACTGATCTTAGTCTCCAGAATTTTGCCTTTCCCAGGAAATCATGGAGCTGGAATCACATAGTATGATCCCCTTTTCAGACTGACTTCTTTCTCTTAGTGGTAGGCATGTAAGGTTCCTCCATGTGTTTTCGTGACTTAGATAATTCATTTCTTTTTACCGCTGAATAACAGTCCTGTGTCTGGATGTACCACTGTTTAATTACCCATTTGCCTATTAGAGTCCTCATTGCCTTTTACTAACTCCTTTTTTCATGCCATCTTTGATTTTTTCTCTAGATTTAGCTCAATCACAGCACATCCAGAGCGTGGAGATGTATCTTTCTTCACGGGGGGACCACTCTGGGCTCTGGACTGGTGCCCAGTGCCAGAGGGGGCAGCGGCCTCGCAGTATGTGGCCCTTTTCTCCAGCCCTGACATGAATGAGACACACCCTCTGAGCCAGCTTCATTCGGGCCCTGGGCTGCTCCAGCTCTGGGACCTTGGGACATTGCAGCCAGAAAGCTGGTGAGGTGGGGCTGGGACACTGCCGCGGGAGGTACTGGAGGAGAGAAGGACGGGCTGGCATGAGGGGACGCAAGGGCTGAGTTGAGATGAGGGGAGCACAGGTTCTCGCAGCCCTAGGTCCCTTCTTCCTGCCCATTCTCCCCGCGTGCTTTCTCTCTTCAGTCCTGGCAACAGGGCCCATTTCGTCTATGGGATTGCTTGTGACCATGGCTGCATCTGGGACCTCAAGTTCTGCCCCAGTGGGGCATGGGAACTTCCAGGCACCCCTCGCAAGGTACCTCCCATTTGATTGTGGGATGGCCCGGGGGCTGGGGGCTGGGGCCAAGAGACCCTGGGTAGTCCCAAGGCTGGAGGAAGGGTTGATGCGTGACGGATGGAGTTTTTCCAGTAACTCCATATATTTTTAGGGACCTCCTGAGAGGTTCTTGATGGCCACAAACCTCAGCACACATCTGGTCTTACCCTCTAGGCACCTCTCCTGCCCCGTTTGGGTCTCTTAGCGCTGGCCTGCTCGGATGGGAAGGTGCTGCTATTCAGTCTGCCCCATCCTGAGGCCCTGCTGGCTCAGCAGCCCCCAGGTGAGTAGCACAGCAGGGGAGTGGGGCTGTGGTAGTAGTGGCCGGAGCCTTGCAGGTCCTGTCTATCTCCCCGAAATTCTTCTAGGCCCAGTCTCACTAAAACCCCCCCCTGACTCAGTCCCCCTCCCATTCTGAATTCACATGCTTTGCTTCTGACCGCTCTTCTTAGCCTGCAAGTGGTACGCTCCTCTTTAGTCTGATCACTGTGTTCTTTCAGCACTTTACCTCCCATCTCCCCTGTTCTCCTTCTGTGCTCTCAGGCCTGCTGCCATAGTTAACTGGCTGTACAAAGAGCTGCTAACGACTGGGGCTGATGGAGGGGGCTCATCTCCCCTGCCATATTTTTCTATACCCAGATCCAGCTCTCAGGCTCTCCCTCCCTCACCACCACACGAACATATACAGTGTCTTTGTTGTGAAGAGAGGGAGAGAATATAGTGCTGAAGATGAATATAAGAGGAAGGGGTCTAAAGGCAGCTCCTGTTGTTGAATTTATTTGTTTTTCAACAGTACTGAGTATTTAAAGAGGAGGGCACCCACGTTTGAGCCCTGAGAGATCCCACATTTGGTGGTCTGGTGGAGGAATGGGTTGAAGAGGGAATGGAAGGTGAGGAAGTGAAGACAGATGTGTAGCTATTTCTCTCATGAAGTTTTACTGCGAAGGGGAACAAATGAGGGTGGTGGCTGGAGGTGAATAGGGCTAAAGGAAGGATGTTGTTCGTTTCTTTTATTTGCTCAGAGACGGTAGCGTGTATTCATGTGTGACTGAGAATGCCCAGTAGGGAGAAAGTGGATGATGCAGGAGAGAGGAAGGATAAGCAGCCAGGTAGTGTTGTGGAAAGAGGAGAGGGGTTGAGAAGAGAGCAGGGGGAGGGAGTAGCTATGCTGATAGGGGGAGGGATGCCATCTGCCCAACAGGAGGAAAGAAGACGGGGAGATTGAGATAGGTTTCAAAATGTGATGTAGAAAGATAAGTGCATAAGGGAAGGTCAGTATTGAAAGGGTGGGTGAGGCTCTAAGAGCGGGTCTGATTAGTCCTCTGGATCCAGAGCGTCAGTTTGCACTCTTCTTCCCTCACAGATGCAATGAAGCCCTCCATCTATAAGGTGAGTGAGGAACCTGCTATCTTAGCCGAGGCTCCATCTTCTAGAGCCTCCCCTGACTGATTCCACAGTGAGTCTCCTACCTCTGAAACATCTCCCCATCCTGCTAGATTAAACACATTTGAGCCTTCAGTCCAAACAGTAGGTACCCCTAACTCCCCCCATCTCTTCCCTGCAGGTACAGTGTGTAGCAACCCTTCAGGTGGGGTCTATGCAGGCTGCAGATCCCCCTGAATGTGGTCAGTGCCTTAGCCTGGCCTGGATGCCCACCCGGCCCCACCACCACCTGGCTGCTGGATACTATAATGGTAAAAAACAAAACACCAGTCCTTTTCATCTCGGTCTCCCCCTTCACTGCTGAATTATAATACCCACTTGTCATTCACTGTCAACAGTTTTTTCAAGGAAGGCTTATAGGTGCTACATTCCCAGACTTTATAGATAAATGGGATTTTAGCTACAAATGCTTTTCTAGCTTTTGTTTATTGAATTCTTATTATTCTCTTGGTTTGTGTTTTATTTTTACCCAAGTTAGATTTTTCACTACTTTTCTGCCAGCCTGTTCAGTGGTCAACAAGTTACTTTCTGTCTGTCTATTTTGGTTCTTCTACATTTTGTTGCCTTTGGCTTCTTGCCTGTTATCTTAGTCTTAGAGCAGAGTTAGCAAACATTCCTGTAAATATCCAGATAGTAAATATTTTATGCTTTGCGGACTATCTGACTATGTTAGAAATACTCTGCTATTCAGAGTGAAAGCAGCCACAGATGTTAGGTACATGAGTGGATGTGGCTGTGTTCTTAACAAACTTGACCAAAAGAGGCAGGTTATATTTTGCCCGTGGGCTGTAGTTTGCCAGCCTTTGCCCTAGAGGGTTTATGCTTTTTAAAAATTCCTGTTTTACTTAATAGAGAGTAGACGCTACTGGGTACAGTCAACCTATCTTTTTTTTTTTTTAAGATTTTTTTTTAAAAGATTTTGTTTATATAAGAACCGGGGTATTGGTCAGAGACGCTGGAGGGTGAGCGAATTCACCAGAGACAGAGTGGGGAGCGGAATAGGCAGATGGACCGTAGACACTGCTGAGGGGAGCACCGGGCAAGGCAGGAGAGGTCTGCCATGCCATGTGGTTTTCTCCCTGGCCGACTGGGAATTGAACCTGCACTGCAGAGGCTGTGGACAGGTTCAGAGTGCGGCGCTTAGCCCACTGCACCACCGGGGCAGCCCATATTACTTTTTTTTATTAATGAGAATTTAAGCTGAAATATCAGATCAAGTCTTTTAAAGTCGGAGGGAATATTGACTAACTAATGATAATCCCTATATCAAAGAGAGAACATGTGGGCCTCCCCAGTGGCGCAGCGGTTGAGCGCTGGGTTGCGAAGCTGCCCGAAACCTCTGCAGTGCCAGTTCGATCCCTGGCTGCCGGGTGAGGGTCCCACATGGTGCTCAGACCTCTCCTGCCGCCCACTGCTCCTCTCAGCAGTGTACTTCGTCATTCTGCCTGTTCTACTCTCCGCTCTGGCTCTGGTAAATTCTCTCACCCTCCCGTGCCTCTGACTGTACCCAGTGCTTGTATAAATAAATAAATAAATCTTTAAAAAAAGAGAGAGAAAACATGTTAGTGGGCAGACCGAGGGGCACCCTTTAGACCCCCAAACCTGCCTGTTTTGAAGGGGTTCTGCAATCCACCACATAGAGACAAAACATACTCTTAATGTGTAAGACCTTCAATAGGAAAGAACTTTAATACAATTAGTGTTCAATAAAGAGAAGAGAAAGAAAATAGTTAAGGTAGTTTCCCCATGAAACACCCAAAGTTACACATCGCCTCATGGGTAAATGCCCTGCCAAACAGGGTAGGCCCAAAGCAGGGCCACTGAGTCATGAAAGCTTGCCACAAGTCTAAGGCACCTTATGGTGGAGAACCATAGAAAGGGGGCCAGGCAAGTCTGGAAGAAAAAGAGTAAAATCAAAATATAAGTCAAGATAAAGACTGCCATTGTCAGCCTCCCCACAGGTCTCTCACCTATGTCTCTATTTCTTTCAAGTGTCTCCTTCCATGCCCCCCAAGTCCCTGGTGCAAGTCCAAGGCCAAGAAGCAAACACAGCTTTTTCACATGTCTCTGCTCCATGTGCCTCCTCCAGGTCTTTTCTCTTCTTTCTAAGTCCACTCCCAAATCATCTTGCAGTCTTTTTCAGAGTCTCCTGAACACTCACTTCCATGCTTCCTTAGGTGGAGGAACCTGGAACCTCCTTTCTGTGGGGTTTACACTGTTAGGAGCCCACCTTTAATATCAACACATTCTCTCCCTACCTCAGGCATGGTGGTTTTCTGGAACCTTCCCACTAACTCACCCCTGCAGCGGATACGACTCTCTGATGGCTCATTGAAGCTCTACCCCTTCCAGTGTTTCCTAGCCCATGACCAGGCCGTGCGTACCCTTCAGTGGTGCAAAGCTAACAGGTGCAGTGAGAGAGTTGTAGAGGTGGGAGGTGGACACTGGGACCAGCTCACTCTTCCAGACTTGTTCATATTTCATCTCTTCCTTCTCTCCCATCTTTTCAGTCATTTCCTAGTTTCTGCAGGGAGCGACCGGAAAATCAAATTCTGGGACCTTCGAAGACCTTACGAACCAATAAACTCTATCAAGCGCTTCTTGAGTACAGAGCTGGCCTGGCTGCTCCCCTACAATGGTGTCACGGTGGCTCAGGACAACTGCTATGCCTCGTACGGCAGGATGAAGATAGGAGGAGCTGGGAACAGGCCTTAAGGGTTGGGGTGTCAGATAGTGAGGAAAGGAGGGCTCAAAGTTGTTTCACTGAGGTAGTCTCAAGTCTGGAAGGAATTGGTGGAAAAGAAATGACTGATCTTAAGAAAAACAGTTTTATTTTCTATTTCTCTTACAGTTATGGACTCTGTGGAATTCATTATATTGATGCTGGTTACCTTGGTTTCAAGGCCTACTTCACTGCTCCTCGAAAAGGCACTGTCTGGGTGAGCCCCTTTCTTCACAATCTTTATTATACAGAAAAATGATTCCCTTTACTTATCTAAGGGGGGATCAGAAGAGACTGTAGTTATGGACAGAAGAAAATAGGTGTGTGGTAGCACCAAAGACATGGATTATGGAAAACTTCTGTGCAAGTGTGTGTGGTGTGTGTTCCCCTTTTTCAGACTTTGCAGTTGTTACCATTTTACAGAACTGAATGAATATGAGTGAGGAAATGAATGAGTGAATGAATGAATGAAATATATCTCTTCCTATTAGAGTCTTTCAGGATCTGACTGGCTTGGGACAATAGCCGCAGGAGATATATCCGGGGAGCTCATTGCAGCTATATTGCCTGATATGGCACTGAATCCAATAAATGTCAAGCGACCTGTAGAGCGAAGATTCGTACGTATATGAATTTTTAATGACAGCTCATCGTTTGGATCCTGATGACCTTCCAAATTATTGCTACAAATTAGTAATTGAGTGCAAGTTAGTCCTTGGTCTACCAGTCCTGAAATTATGTTTAGAAGTCTTGGCACAACGTGTACATAATCTTCCTGTCCTAGTGCATCTGAGCATGGTTTTGATTTGTTTTAGAATTATTCTTTTATTGAAAGATTTTTATCTATTTTGTGTAGAACTGGGGTATGGGCCAGAGGTGCGGGGGTGAGGAGGAGGGTAGTGGGAAGATTCACTAGAGACAGAACGGGCAGATCTACTAAAATACACTGCTGAGGGGAGCAGTGGGCGAGACAGGAGAGGTCTGCTCCCTGGCTGGGATCGAACTCAGGCCATAGTGGTGGGCCTTCACAGTGGTAGCACTGAAACTTAATCCCAAGGCCACCAGGGAGGCCCCTGAGCATATGTTTAAACATCACTTCTTTCTTCCAATTTTAAGTGTCTCCTATCCAAAACCAATTTTTTTCCCCTATTATTTGGTCTTCACTATTAAAAAAACTAACCTTATGGTCTCTTTCTAGCCTATATATAAAGCAGATCTGATGCCCTATCAGGACAGTTCTGAAGATCAAGACCACTCTTCTGCTTCATCTGGGGTCCCCAACCCTCCAAAGGCTCGGACTTATGCTGAAACTGTGAACCATCACTACTTGCTCTTCCAAGACACAGATTTGGTAAATTGAGGCCAGGAGGATGGGTGTGGCATTAGAAGAAGTATAAAACTTCAGTCATATGTATAGTAGGGAATCCTAAGAATTTCCAGCACAAACATGCAAGACTAAGAAGCTGATCCCTTTCTCTCCTGTGATGCTCTGCCTCCCCAGGGTTCCTTCCATGATCTGCTCCACAGAGAGCCAGTGCTGCGCATGCAGGACAGAGAGGGGCACTCTCAGCTCTGCCTGGACAGGCTGCAGCTAGAAGCTATTCATAAGGTAAGAGTCTTGTCTCTGATCTTCTCCACCCTCCACTCTCATTTTCTCCCAACTCTGCACCTGTGATCAAGGAAGTGGAAGATAAAAAGGTAACAAGCACGGAAGGAGGGAAAACAGCTCTGGCAGCCTCCTCAGCTTGATAGACACACCTCACTCATTGTCTTTTTCCTATTCTGTCACCCCATCATGGGTCCTATTCTGTCAGATGGTGGGCCATCTTTTGCTCTTATAGCTGGACTCTCCCTATAGCACCAACTCTCCCTCTTTTATTTTCTATTCTCTTCGCAGGTACGTTTCAGCCCAAACCTGGATTCCTATGGATGGCTGGTTTCTGGGGGGCAGTCAGGGCTGGTTCGGATCCATTTTATCCGTGGACTCACCTCTCCAGTGGGCCACCGTATGCAGCTTGAAAGCCGAGCCCACTTCAGTGCTATGTTCCAACCAACCTGCCCTACTCAAGGACCTGGCTTCCCTCCAACCAGCCATTGCCTTCTGCCCACTCCCTAGTCGTGACCCACACAGGACCCTTGGAGTGAAGTCTGCCATGAACAAATGGCCCCTATGCACAGAGCTATAGGAACTGAGGCCTTCCTGGACAGTGATATTGCCAGGTCTGGACCTTTAGACCTGCCAGGACTCTTTAGATTTCGCTCCTTCCACAGACTTTTGTCATCATAGCCTCCTGCAGGCAGAGGGGCTCTCCCTCCACAAACTTGCCAGGCTCAGCCAAAAACTATGGCTCATGAGAAACACTCAGGCCTTAACATAGGCTTGGGAGTCAAATTGCTCATATTGAGCATATTGTGAAGTGGGTAAAGCTAAGTAAAGGTACTGGGTGTTTTTGAGACCACATGTGAGTGGGTGTTTGGAGAACTGGAAAGGGTATCTGCATGAAGGCTCCTGTCTGATTGCAGGGTCCAATATTACTGCCTTCCCAAACTTCCTTTTTAGAGTAATCAACACACAGACCCATGAATGGGTGATAGTAATTTGGACTGAAGCTGCTTCTAGTACTTCTTTAACTGAGGAACACCACAAACACCCTAGCAATAGAGCAGTGGCTCGGATCTTACTTGCTCCTGCTATGAAATATTCCCAATCACTGGTTATCTGACCCTACTTGAATACTTCTAGATAGTCATGTTTTAAAACCCTCCATTTATATCGAGTCAGAGTATACCTCTTTAAATTTTACCCTGCGTATTAGGAAACCTAGTCATTCTTCCCTGTGATTTCCCTTATAAGCATTTAACAATAGCTATCATGTGTTTCCCAAGTCTTTTCTTCTCTAGATTAAATATCTTCAGTTACTTTAACCATTCTTTTATGATTTTGATCTTTCATGATATGGTCACACTGTTGACTTATTAAACATGTTTAGCTTTATTATTGCTATTATGTAGGTGTTTAGAACCCAACTAAAGTAATGTATTGTTATGTCTCAATCTTGTTAAAGTCCTTTTGTGGAATGCTGCAGACTCATTGTGACTGCAGTACAGTCTCCTAAGCAAGGACAGACCCCAGCAATGAGAAGTAGGCAAACCTTAGTCCTGCAATGTATAAGAGTATAATCTGAGTTTGGAAATAATCAGATGACCTCAGGATATAGAGAAAAGTACTCTTACAGAAGGGAGTGGAAATTACTTTAGTGCCTGTGTGGAGCAAACCCCTCTGGCACTCTAGATCAATAGACCAAATGAACACCTTTCTGCCTCTTCAATCTAGGGAATTATGTCAAAAATCACTTTAAGTAGTTCAGTTTTCCTTATGTACTGAAGAGGGTACAGAACTGGAAGAAGCAGATCATTAACAGCAGAGGGACCACAACCCTATCAGTGCAAAGGAGCCAAGTATTACACCATCCTGTTGTGACCCAGCTCAGGTTCTACCTTTTTTTTTTTTGAGCTGACTGATAAATGCCTTACATTTCAGAGAAGTTTGGTTCATTCTACACAGCAATTCCTTGATAGTGCATTGTGAAGTCTCACACCAGGTGGTAGGAAAGTTGGGGCCTGGGGACCCACACTGATGAGGCTGTAGGTTGGTATTGGCCTCTGCACCTGCTGCTGATTCCCAGCCCTTTTATCTACCCCAGGCTACTCCCCTTCCAATCTGCTTGCCCAGTATATCCACTTCATGCTATCTGTGGATTCCTACACTTGATTGCCTCTGTGTCTTTATTACCTTTGCTCACATTAGTCCCTCCAAGAGTGTCTTTTTCCATCTTTCCTAAGTCCTTTTCATTCTTCAAGATTCCAAGTCAAATTCCATCTTTACCAAAGAGCTTCCTAGATGTCTCTAGTAAAATGTATTCTCTTTTCTATGTGTTTCTAACAGGGAGGAAGGAAATGAGAACAAGTGTTACATATTATATACTTGATCTGTTTTCAGGTACTTTGTATGTTAATCTTATGAGGTAGGTATTGCCCCACTCAATATCATTCTGAGTGATTAAGCATTCTGAATGAGATTAGGAAACTACCAAATTATGGTGCTGGGATTTGAACTAGACTAATTTCAGGATACAACGTTGCAACTTAACCACATTTGGTGTCATTACATATACTAGTGTAAATTCACTCTACCACAGTTTTTTGTATATAGAAACCTTTAGTTAAATATTGAAAAATCCTCTTCCTGTGTTTCTCTAATATCTGAAAGTTCTTCCTGCCTTAATCATCCAGGGATTAAGCAAATTGGGCTGGGACTACTGAGGTGGAGAGAGAGAGATTGCTGTCTCTTGAAGAATGGACTCCCTGGAGATAGTTAAGCAAAGGCTCTCAGCCTGACAAATACACTGCCAGGGATTTTGTTGTGTTTCTGCGATCCTAGAAAGGAAGTTGCACTATATTCACAAATTTTAAACTGTTAGAGCTGGAAAGGGATTAAATCATCAAATCTGTTGGACTTCAACTGTTTCGGGCTTCTTTGTTTAAAAGTAGCTCTTTCTAGAAATTTGTTTAAAAGTAGCTGTTTCTACACACACGCACACATATACAATTGAGTTTAAGAACCAGGAGTGATACCAACCCCCCCCACACACACATTGCCCCTAAAACCAAGGAGTCCGGTTTGAAAAACAGTCATTTCACAGAAGAATCTTAAATTCAAGTTTAGCGGTGGCCACTGCTGCACAGCCCGCTAGTTAATGAAACCTGTAACTAAACCTGAGGTTCTGTAATCCCAACGCTTGTCGGGGGTCACCTACCCAGCATTGCTAAAGGCTATTGTGGACAGAGCACCGAACTAGCTGCTGTGAAGATAAATACAACAAGACCGAAGCTCCCAACTGAGGCTTCTGAAGATACACTAAAAAGGCAACGCCCGCCCACTTTACTATGTTTATCGTTTCCAAACATTCCTGAAACAGAAGGACGTCAGGGCCGGGGCTCGGGGACCGCGAGGTCTATGGGTTGAGACCGGGGCCTGGACGAGACGGAGGCCGAGGTCGGGCCCCGCCCAGGCCCGGCGCAGGCTACCGGGGAAGGCGGCTGCTCAGCTGGGAGCTGAGCTGCTCCGCCCGAGCGCGGGCGAGTCGGCCCCCCAGCGTCCTGGCGGGGGCCGGGCCTCGGGCGGAAGGGGCGGGGCCGGGCGGAAGTCCCTGCGCCGGTCCCGGTCACGTGCGAGGGGCCGCGGTCACGTGCGAGGGGCGCGCTCGCGTGCGGGCAGGTGAGTAGCCCGCGCTCCGCAGCCGCCGGCGCAGCGTGCCTGCTCCCCTGGGGTGCACGGCGTGCGTGGCAGGCGCGGGCCCGGGAGTGCCAGGCCCCTTCTCCTGTGTGGCGTGGACTTAGGAAGGGTGTGGGTTTGCGCGTGGGGACGCACCGGGCTCTGGATGAAAGCCAGAGCTAACCTGTCCTCCCAGAGTCCCGGGCGGGACGGCGGCCCCCAGGACCCTGCCTCGGGCTGCGGGGGGGCTGGCGGCTGGCCGCCTCCGGAATTCCATGGGCGCCCCAGACTCTGACAGGAAGCTGTCCGGGAAGCATCCCTCCAGAGGCCTCTGCCTCTCTGGGACCCGTGGGAAGCGGAGAAGGTAGAGGGGGTGGGCGCGAAGGAAAGTCTAGCGTGTCTTCCGTCGTGGGGAGGAGCACTGGGGGTGAACCCCTCTCCTCTTGGCTTGACAGGATTCATGGCACTGTGGCGCGCATACCAGCGGGTCCTGACTGCTCACCCATGGAAAGTACAGGTTCTGACTGCTGGTGAGTGTCTCTCTGGCACCCGAGTGGGACCAGAGCTACCTGATTTGGGAGGAAGAAGCTCACCCAGAAGACTCCTTGAAGAGCTGTCTGTCTGCTTCTCAAATTGTACCCATACTGTTATGGAGGGTGGGTTTCCAAGGCTATTCTTAAAAAAGAGGGTATGACTAGTTGACCTAGTTGTAAAGTCAGATCTGGACGTCCTTAAAAAGCTGAGATGTAATCTCTTCAGGATAAAGGCATTGCTCCAAGAGGCCTTAATTTAGATAACTAGCGATAACAGATGCTCTTCTAACATTTTGGTGTGCCAAACACTTTCAGCACATTAATGTTATCTCATAGGGTGAACTAGGTTGCTTGAACCCACTTGATCACACATCGATAAGTGCTGGAAATAGGGCTGTTACCCCAGTTTGTTTTTCTTAGATTTTTTTTTTTTTTTTAAATCATAGCAACTCTTTTTTTTTTTTTTTTAATTTTTATTTATTTATTTATACAAGCACTGGGTACAGTCAGAAGCACAGGAGGGTGAGAGAATTCACCAGAGCCAGAGTGGGGAGCAGAGCAGGCAGATGGACGAAGTACACTGCTGAGGGGAGCAGCAGGCGGCAGGAGAGGTCTGCGTGCCATGTGGGACCCTCCTTCGGTGGCCGGGGAGCAGCCGGGGATCGAACTGGCGCTGCAGAGGCTGCGGGCAGCTTTGCAACCCAGCGCTCAACTGCTGCGCCACCGGGGAGGCCCTGTTTTTCTTAGATTTTTAAAGTGAAATATAACTTAACATACAAAAGGATAATAATACAGTTTAAAGTATTAAAACAAGTACTCCTGTATCAATACTCAATTTTGAGATCCCTTGAGCACTTCTCCCTGACTCAGACAAGAGATAACCACTTTATTTTTTTTTTTAAAGATTTATTTATTTATGCATACAAGAACTGGAGTACAGGCCAGAGATGTGGGGGATGAGAAGATTCACCAGAGACTGAGCAGGGAACAGAACAGGCAGGTCGACTGTAATAACACTGCTGAGGAGAGCAGCAAGTGAGACAGGAGAGGTCTGCTGCACCATGTGGGTAGCTCCCTGGCCAGGATCGAGCTCCTGCTGCAGTGGCTACAGGTAGCTTCAAAGGTTGCATCTTAACCCCTTACACCACCTGGGAGGCCCCAAGAGATGGCCACTTTAATTGAGTTTGGTTTATATCATTCTTTTTGATTTTTTAAAAATAGGGTTCTGTTACCTATGTTTAAATCCCCAAACAATATATTAAGCAAAGATTTAGTAATTCAGTAATTGAGTTTCGACCTCATAGAGCTAACCCAGTGACTTACCTGCATTTGTTACCTTCTCCATTTTGCTGTTACCATCTTTGTTTCACAGGTTAGCTAACATAAGAGGGGGTGGCACAGAGTAAATTTTATAAGGGAAGATTTAGAAGGTCTGTGAGAATTAGAGTAGTGGCAAGGGTGATGGAGTTAGGATGGGGTCTTCCCTATGTTTAAAGTAGGGGAACAGAATTCTAATGAGAACCGGTTGGCCTCTGAGAAGCAAAGACCGTTAAAAGGGTGTTGGGTGGACAGAAATCTTGTTATTAATATAGCTCCACATCACCACTAAAAACCTCATTGGGTGACTGGCCAGGGAATAGACTCTTGGCCCTCCCAGAGTCCCTTTCCAGGCTTATGTGCCCAACCACCCCATGTCTTGTCCTCAGAGTGTCCGTCAGCCTGTATGACTCACCTGGCTGCGTGTGTGGTGACTCATGCAGGACTGTATGGCTGTGATGGGAACTGACACGCTGGGCCTTTTGCCCAGCCTCAGATTCCCTCAGGGCCTCTAATGCCAGAAGGAAGGTTCCCTCTTGCGGTTATCAAGAATAGGAAAGGAAGGATAATCCTTATGTTTTCCTATCTAAGGGATCTGCAGCTGACTAGAAGCAAGTGCAGATAAGCGGCTGAGCTGGGGTGCCTATCTTGGTGATAGAGCCCTGCGGCTCCACACCTGCAGTCTTCCTGAGGTTGTGGGGACATTTCAATGTAGCCCTAAAGCAACCTCTAATTAGAGGTGTCCTCTGACTTTTCCAAGTCTTTCAGGCTTTTCCTTCCCTGCTGCTCAGTGTATTTGGATCCACCATAAATAAAGGGAGGAAGTAGATTTAGATTACAGAGCTGTTTTTAGACCCCATCACCGTAGTTCGTACAGTTCCATGGGCTAACTCATCACACAGGAAAACAGAATAGAGATTTCAGGCTTCAGGTTAGAAGACCACAGTTTGAATAGCACTTAGTAACTGTGTGAGTCAGGCCAAGTCAGTAAATCTCTTTGGGCCTCAGTTTCTTCCTTTAGACCTTATGTTTAGTTACGTGATGATCTCACGGATTCATTGTAGGAATAAGTCTTTGAAAAGGCATAAAAAATAATTTTAAAAGCTAAACAAAAAGTTTTCAAGGCTTAAGGTGTTGGCCTTTTATATGAGTGTTGTCAACCCAGACACAATAAACTGTTCTTTTTATAGTGGTATTTGGATTGGGTTTCCACTTACCATAAATCTGAACATGGATAACTATGTAAGCCTTGCTTCTCCAAAAAGCAGGGCAGAAGCTTCTGGGCAGGTGCTTAATTGTTAGGAACTGGAAAGTAGTCCTATGCAGGCAAGAGGGAGAGTCAGTATAGGGAGAGGCAGCAGTCAGCAAACCTGACTGCTCAATCCCTTAAAACTGACTGAGAAGGGCCTCCCCGGTGGCGCAGCGGTTGAGCGCTGGGTTGCAAAGCTCCCCGCGGCCTCTGCGGCGCCGGTTCGATCCCCGGCTGCTCCCCGCCCACCGGAGGAGGGTCCCACATGGCGCGCAGACCTCTCCTGCCGCCCACTGCTCCCCTCAGCAGTGTACTTCAGTCCTTCTGCCTGCTCTGCTCCCCGCTCTGGCTCTGCTGAATTCTCTCACCCTCCCGCGCTTCTGACTGTACCCAGTGCTTGTATAAATAAATAAATAAATAAAATACGTGCCTCTTTAAAAAAAAAAATTGTTAAAAAAAAAAAAAAAAAAAACTGACTGAGAAGCTTCCTGAAAAGTCCCTTAGGACTATATATGTGAATAGTCTTCTCTGGAGAAAAGGAGAAACCTTTACCCACCTACTCCTGCCCAAATTGGTCAAAGCTTCACCCCATGGGATAGTTAACACCCCTGTGCTACCAGGCTGCACAAGCACAGTCCCCAGACAAGCATCCACAGTGCCGCCCCAGGTATGACACAGGCCTGAGGGTGGGATCTGTCAGGTAGAACTGCGGCTTAGTGGCTGGAGTAAGAGTGAGTCAAGAAGAGCTGAAATGGTTCAAAAGAAGTGTTAGTTACACCCATTTTTAGCCAAACCAGAGTTAGGAACAGGAACAACCTAGACAAAGATCTGTGTGTTCCGCAGAGTCCGAGTCAGCCCTATCCCGTCCCTTCTTCGGGGCCCTTCCAGTCTCCAGTGGATCGAGGGTTCAGCTCCATTCATCTTCGACCACCCTGATCCTGCTGTGGGAACAGCTAAGCTTCTGCAGATACTGGTTTCCCTGGAGTCTGAATTAAGCCAGGAGCTAAGAGCTCAACAGGCATTAGAGACCATCTAGTCCAGCCCTTGACACTACAGAGAAGGAAACGAGGCAAGAGGGCAGAGTGACATGCACTGAGATCTTGCGTGCTCACTGGAGAACTGCATAGAACCCGGGCCACTTCCCAGTGTATTGCTCTATGCTTACACTGCTGGGGCCTCAGGTCGCTGAGTGTACCCTGTCTGGTCTGGACTTAGATAACTGACAAGCTGCTGAACCTCCATTTTGTCTCACTTTCTGGCAGGAGGGTTCAGACCAAGAATGGGGAGAACATTCAGACCAATCCCAGAGAATGCACATTCCTCTCACCACTTAGCTTCACCTTCCTCTGGCAAAGTTTTGCTGGGCAACTCATGGGGAGGAAGGAGTCAGTAGCGCCTCTGGCCCTGTGCCAGTAGCTGCATACCTGCTGACCCATGCCACCTACGCTCAAGGACCTTCCTGCCCCTCTGCATTCTCATCTTCCACTAACACTTTGTTTTCTTGCATGGAAGACTCCACACAAAAACCAGGAGAAGAACAAAATAAGGGAAGTAGGGAATTTACCCCCACCTGTGTCTAGGAAGAGGGGGTAGAAATTGGGGCTTTTCCACTAGTGGACAAGGGGCAGTCCCAAGTACTGCTGGGAGGCAGGCTCCCCCACACACCTCCCTCTGCTGGATCCGGTGGTGAGTGACGGCATGAAAACTGGCACCTACCCAGGGGCATGATGTCACATCCGCACCAGTGTCTGCCCGCTAGGCTTTGTGCCCAGTCCGGCATTGGGGCATCACTGCCCAGCAGCCCCAGGTTCCTGCCCCATTGGGACTCAGGCCTTATTTCTGCAGACCCTCGGCCCTAACCACCCAGAAACAAGTCCATGGACAGGACAGCCAGATCACTGGAAGATCCAGATAATTATGTCCCAAAGAGCCTGGGTTTGACTTGAGGCTGCTTGAGCTCTGGGGTTGGAGGAGATGGAGTGACGAATCTGAATGTCAGACTGACTGCTCAGTCAGTGACTTGGATCAGAAATCAGGCCCTGCTCCAGGCTGGGACCCTGCTCCATGCTGTGACCAAAGCCTTAGACCACCCAGGAATTGATGGAGGCCATTGCTATGGGGCGGGGTGGCTGATGAACAGAGGGAGACCTCTGGGTTCTTTTCTGTCTGAAATGGCCAGAACTGGTGGCTGTAGAGCTGTACACACTTACTGCAGTGATGACTCTGTCCCCTGGTAGTCCTCAGATTTGACGGGCACAATTTGGGTGCCTAGAATCCATCTTAAAGACTACAAGCTTCATGACTATGAGGCTAGAAGTAAAGGACTTCTGTTTTCCTACCTAGCTGTGTGACTGCTGACAAGTCGTGAAGAGTGAAACACTCACCTCACTTTATGACTATTTCTTCCCCAGGAATATTGCCCACCCCACAACATGGCAAGAACAGAAGTGATCCCATTCTGGGGAGTCAAAGACAGAGGGGAGTGCATTCATACAAGAGGTGTCCTTGATAAGCATGGCTTTGGGGCCTTATTTGAACAGGAACCCACGCCAAGCAGCAGTCACAGTAGCCTCTTGGCGCCTTCTGGCCCCTGAGTCCAAGCCAGGCGCAGCTGGGACTTCCCCGGCTTCCTGTTCCTCCTTGGGGGAAGGCCTGGTTTCAGGTCCTGGCCTCACTTCTCAACCAAGTCACCCCCTCACTCAAAGACATTCAGTGGAGGTATGACCCCTTTCTCCTAGGCCTTTAAGGAGGACTAAATATGTGAGCCCTTCGTAAACTGGAAATATCTGTCTAGGTAGAATGTTAGACTGTTAAACACCCTTCATTTAGGAAGTGACTGGCTGTGTTACCCCTACCCCTGGTCCTCAGTGTCAGGGTCACTCTTCCCTTTATGCATGACCAGGCAGTTGGTGACCCCAAGTTGTCAGAGGAGGGATAGAGAGGTAAGTGCTAACTGCGTGGAGAGGGCAGCAAGCTTTCAGTCTCATCTGATCCTCATACCTTGAACCTCAAGTACTGCCCTTTGGGCTAGACCTTGAGTACTTCTGTCCTTTTGAGGAGCAGTCCTGTTGTTTGCTATAGTACATGGGACATTTGTCCTCTGAGCATCCAGCAGAGGCTTGGTTAGGTGTGGTAGGGAATAAGAGAACAAAAATGCCTAGATCGTTCTATCCTTGCCCTCTGGGAGGGTCTACCTAGGCATGTTCTGGGAAGACCCTCCACCACTTGGGGAGTTCAAGGGAGAAGAGAGGTAGGGAAGCCTTTTGGGTAAGTGGGGGTGGAGCTGCACCATGGCTAGAGTGCCAGCAGCCTAGGTCATCTATAGGTGCCAGCCCCGGCTCTCAGCGCCACCCCACTTCCTCTGACGAGCTTCTAGGGGCAGGCCATGAGGCGGGTGTGGGGGAAGAACAGTGAATGTACAGCCAGCACAGACGTCAGAGGCAGCTCTGGGCCAAGGAATGGGGTTGAAGGATGTGTTTGCCCAGTGCTAATTGAGGGCACAGGGAAGGTGGTGGCTGCGGGGCTCTAGGGGGGCTCTCGTTACTCAGTGAGATGAACAGACAAGCCAGAGATCATACGGTCACTCCCAAGCGGCCCTTTAAGTGTATGTTTGTTGGAAGCCATCACGCCACCTTAACTGACAGGGGTTCTGTAAATAGTGATTATTTCTATCTTGGGTTTTGGGTGTGGGTGTCTGACTGGGCCTGCATGGAGTTCGGTGTGCAAGTGAGGGGAGAAGATGTGGGTGCAGAGGCCTGAGGGGAGACATGACTGTAACACCAGCTCAGTCTGAGTGGTGAATGGGGAAGCCTGGGCTTGGCCGATTGTGCTAAGAGGTGACTGGGACTCCTCCTGAGAGGATTAGTAGCTTACCATTTGTCTTCCAGCCTGGTACCATTCAAGTGCTTGTTTTAGAAAAAAAGTTGTTCTTGCTGTTCTCCACAAATATGGACTCTAACACCAAGGTGAAGGACATTGCCCAGGATTTTGCCTTGGGTGGGGGCGAAGACCAGGGTTCCCTACCATTGCACATGTGGCCTGTTATAGTACAGTGTCCTGGGAAGTGCTCTGTCTAGGAAAGCAAGCCACCTGCTCTTGTGTTGACTCTGCCGCTTAATGGTTATGTGAGGTCCTGGACCTTCATATCCACTATTCTAAAATAAGGGGTTTGGATAAAATTACCCAGAAGGTCTCTCCAGTTCTGACAGTTGCTGGTTCACAGTCCCTGGCACCTTAGATTCTCCTTCCTCTCTCTCACTCCTTCGTGGCTCAGTGTGGAGTTCATGGGCCCTGGCCCGCTCAAGGCTGTTCATCCCAGTTTCTAGTACGAGGTGTCACCAGCCTCGGGAAAAGAGAGCTTGGAAGCAGCAGGAAGGGACTCTAGGGAAGGGCTGTAGGCCCCAGAATTAAGCCCTTGGCTTCAGAGTGCCGGCGCCTACTTCATTTAGTAGACTTGCCTCCCTCCTTGGCAGGCTTCTTTCCCCAGGAGTTATCCTGACCGTACTTGTTTACCTACACAGGGCTGCTGATGGGTCTGGGGGATGTTATCTCACAGCAGCTGGTGGAGAAGCGAGGTCTGCGAGAGCACCAGACCGCTCGGACCCTGACCATGGCCTCTCTGGGCAGTGGCTTTGTGGTAAGTTCTGCCAGGGCTGCCATATCATCCTTTGCTCTCCCTTGGCCTCTCACGTCTAGCCAACCTTGAGTGTCTGCTTCCCTTGGGACTTGGTTTCTAACTCTAAAAGCTAAGTGCTCCCTTCACTGCATCCCTGCTCTGCCATCTGGGCTTTACTTCCAGGGCCCGGTAGTAGGAGGCTGGTATAGGGTTTTGGACCGGCTCATCCCTGGCACCCGCAAGGTGGATGCACTCAAGAAGATGGTGTTGGATCAGGTGAGCAGAAGGAAATCAGGAAGGGTGAACTGTGTTGTGGGTGGCTGGGGCCACAGGTGCTCCCAGAACTCTAATTTCTCTTCTCTAGGGGGGCTTTGCCCCATGTTTTCTAGGCTGCTTCCTCCCACTGGTAGGGGCTGCCAATGGACTGTCAGCCAAGGACAACTGGGCCAAGCTGCAGCGGGTGAGCTGGGCAGGATTGGGGAAGCTCTTGGGCTGGCAGTGCTAGGGGAGTGAGACAGTCTTCATGGCACAGAAAAGGGGAGCATGCAGATAGAGACCCAGGCTCTGGAGGAGTAGAGCAGAGAGGGCGTGGAACAGGAACGTGTTCTGGAACTATCACACTTTGTGATAGACTGGGAGGGGAGTTGCTTGAAAGTGCAGGCACTAATGTACTCCTTTTCTGACTCCTCAGGATTATCCTGATGCCCTCATCACCAGCTACTATGTAAGAGCTGACACCTCAACTGCCTCTTCTTCTGCTTCCTTGAGTCCAGAAGTGCCCAGGGATTGTGGGTTCTCCTGACATAGAAACCCCACAGTTGGGATCACTCTCTTGCTCCCAGTTGGGAAAGCACTCAGGAAAGCATTCTCCTGGTTGTCCATCTTGTTCTTGTCTGCAGAGGTTGGAGCAAGACCAGGCAAGGCAGCAAGTCTGGGGGGTCAGGTAATCAAGGCAGCCCCCCAACCTTTGCCTTCTCTTTCTTGTAGCTCTGGCCTGCTGTGCAGTTAGCCAACTTCTACCTGGTCCCTCTCCACTACAGGTATGACAAATCCCTATGCTATCCTTCAAGGAAAAATCCACATTACAAATATTTGGAGACAAGGTGGTTCTCATTTCAACCTTGCACTACTTTGGATGGCCCAAAACACTTTGCCCTGATCAGTGCTCCTCGGGCCTCAGAGCACTGTATTGCGAGCCTCCTACCCGTTACCTGTTCCAGAGTATCTGCCACTAACCTTTTGTCAGAGGGTGTCCTGTTCCACAAGCCAGGTTTGTATTCACCCTGAGCTCTCTGTTTGCTGAATATCTGCAAGGGCCATGTCTGGGCCAGACAACCTAGGCTAGACGGAAAGGTGGACCACATAGAGCGAGTAGGATCCAGGCTGGCCAAGTTAGTCCACTGCGAAGTATGTCTTACACTAATAATAAAGGTAGTTGCTGAAGCTGCAATAAAGGATATAGTCGATCTTGTGTTCAGTGGTTAAAATTTATGTTGGTGAGGCAGGATGCTTTGGAAACAGAAAAATATAAAATTCTTCAGAGAAAACAGGGTCAAATTTTTAAATGAAAAGCATAGCTAGGCAGCTCTTCCTGCCCGCTTGTGTCTATGCAAGTGTCTTTTACTCTTCTGTCCCTTTCCCTAATAAACCTGTCCTTTAAATATAAAAGAAAAAAAAAAGAAAAGCATCGCTAAAAGGAATAGAAACTTATGAGCCAAATCCTAAACATTAGGGTTCTGGCAACACTCTCTGAAACTACAGCAAAGTAAATTTAAAATAAAGAGTTACTTTATATGTCAGGCAGTACATTTTTGGAAGGTGAATTCTCCTCAGCTGGTACAAGATGAAGAAAGGTGTGTATTTAGAAGGGACCTGGACAGGGGCATGGAGGACAGAGAGGACAGAGCCACGCATGGCAAGAGAGCTGCTGAGGGGATTTGACTTTGAAACTGTTGTCCAGAAGACACAGCGCTAGGACAGCACCAGAACCTGAGCTGGCTGTCCTCTGGTCTGAGCCAGTGCCTCACGCCCCCCACCCCCCGCCTGAGGGGCAGATGGAATCTGAATCTGGACACTCTCAGAGATAATCTCTCCTTTTCCATTGCACTTCCCTCGTGGCTTGTCCCTTCTTGCTCTTCACGATGCCTTTCCTGTTCCTTAGGTTGCCTGTTGTCCAGTGTGTTGCTGTTATCTGGAATACTTACCTGTCCTGGAAGTCACATCGGTCCTAAGCCTGCCTCGCTCCCATGCTTCCACCTTGCAATGATGTAGCTTACCCCTGGAATGGGCAGGCAACCTCCTCAAAGTGCGCTTACTAGTTTTCATCAGTTGCTTGTCAAAAATTAATGGGTTAGCACTTTGAAATGGCTCATCTCACCCTTAAATGTAACCTGATTCCTTTTGAAGTCACTGAAACCTTTATTATGGTCTTACACCCACCACATTGTAGGTACTTCATAAATATTGGGTGAACAATATGATTTGTCAACTTTAGTTTATACCTGTATTCCAGCAGATGCCTCTCATCCCTCCTCTTCATAGACCATTTGTTTCCCTAACTCTTGCCAGCCTTGGCTCCAGCTTTTTGGGAACCCTTCCTCAAACCTTTTAATTGGCACCTCTATAAATATTAAATACATAATCTGGAGCTTGCAGAGGCACTGAGTAAGCCCTAGCAGAAAACTGTTGGGGAGTCAAAACTTCTAACGCTGGAAAAAACCTCCAAGAAGCTAGAAAGAAGAGTTCACCACGCTCAGTCCTTTCGGATGAGGATGGTGAGGTCCACAGCAGTGAGATGACCTGTCCACATCACTCGTTAGTGGCAGGTACAAAGGTGCACACAAGTCCTATAGGTTGAATATTTGCAGCATCCCTCTCCCTGCCAATGTTCATAGTCTAGTGTCCAAAGTAATGGTGTTTGGAGTGGGACCTTTGGAAAGTGAGTAAATCACAGGACCAGGGCCCTCATGGGATTGGTGCCTCTGAGGACACCAGAGAGCACCCTCCCACCTTCCACCATGTGAGTCACCATCGTGAGCCAGGAAAGCGGGTCTTCAGCAGACTTTGACTCTACTACTGCCATGATCTGGGACTTCCCAACCTCCAGAACTGTGAGAAATAAATGTTTATTGCATATAAGCCACCCAGATTGTGGTATTTTTGTTATATCAGCTCAAATGGACTAAGATGAAGTTTTCTTCCTACCCAGTGATCTTAATCTGGAGGGTGAAAGATGTGGTAATGTTGCTGCATTGGCTCCCAGGAGAAAAAATTAACTTGGCTAAGCTACCACTTTGGGGAAGACTCAAACAGATGGACCAGTCTTTTTGTGATCTGAAAGCACCCTGAGATCAGAGGGCCCCCCCTTTTTTTTTGGTGATTCTTTAGTCAGCTAACCCTAGAATTTAGATCCTAGAGCTAAAATGTGATTTTTAAAAATCTGGCTGCCTCTGGGTGGGCGCTATGGTGACAACGAACTGCCAGCTGCCAACAGTGCTCTCCAGTTTGCTGAACTGATAGCTGGGGCTTGGCACTGAGCAGCAAGCACCGTCCCTAGGTGTCTGGCCCCTTGTAGAGGCCCAGGGCTGGGTCAGCACCACGGACAGCTCCGCGATCCGCCTGCCTTCCTGTGCCGGAGCCCGGCGGCCGGGACTGCGCTGCGGGGGGGACCGGTACTAGTCACGGACTATTCCAGGCGGGTAGGGGGCTCTTGGCCCCCAGAGCAATCTTTGCAACCTGGTCACCTTCTCGCTCTCCTGCCCGGTGCCGCTTCAGCACCAGCCTTCCGGGCGCATGCAGCGTCCCGAGGCGCGCCCCTCGGGGTCTCACAGCCGGCCGTCGTCATGCTTCCACAATCAGTGCCTGCTCCTCGCTGACGTCAGCCGAGCTGTCCTGGCGCTATATAAGGCTGGCGACGGTCCCGGGACAGACCCCGTGTTTCCCAAGGCGCCCTCAGTCCGCCCCGAGGGACAGAGGCTGAAGCGCCGTCCTGCGCGGTGCAGACGCTCTCCGGCAACCGTGAGTGGCTCCGAGGTCGGCCCAGACTCCGGCGCGGGACTCCCGGCTACCCCGCCGCGACCCGCCGGGAGGGAGGGAGGGCAGGAAGGGTGCCACGGGACTGGGCAGCGGCCAGGGGCTGGAGGGAAGGGTGTGGGCCTGGGGCAGCAACTGCAGCGGGCGGTGGGGTTCTGGACGCGCGCGGGAAGGGAAGCAGCGCTACCTGCGGCTGCCCCAGGCGCACCTCACCTTGCACTCCCGTGTGTCCAGGGCCGGTGGCACCATGAGGCGGGCGGGACGCGCGGCTCTCCTGGCGGCGGTGCTGGTCCTGGCACAGTTGCGCCCGGGGAGCAGCCAGTGGAGCACCGAGGCAGCGGCGGTCGGGGTGCAGGACCCGAGTCTGCGCTGGAGTCCCGGGGCGCGGAACCAGGGAGGCGGGGCCCGTGCGCTCCTCCTGCTGCTGGCCGAGCGCTTCCCGCACCGCGCGGGGCCGGGCCGATGGGGGGCCGGGACCTCCAGCCCCCGCCCGCGACGGGACGACCCTCCGCTGTCTATTGACCTCACCTTCCACCTGCTGCGGACCCTGCTGGAGCTGGCGCGCACGCAGAGCCAGCGGGAGCGCGCCGAGCAGAATCGCATCATATTCGACTCCGTGGGCAAGTGATCGGCAGGGTCTGGGGCCCTGTAACCCCGGCCCGTCCCTTCTCCCGCGCCCACCCGGCGGGGCCAGGCGCGACCAGAACTGACCCAGTCCCGCGGGACTAGAACCCCAGAGATGCCCTGAGCACTCCGCGTCAGTATTTTTTAATAAAAGTGCTGAAGAGCCTTTGGCTTCCGTTGCAGGGGGTGGGAAACCACTGCAGGGTGGGAACCCGTGGGAAAGTGGGGTTTCCCCGACTGGCAGGAGGAACCAGGTGCTGCAGGAGGGCTCCCCAAGAAAAGCATTCACCTAGGGTCACCCAGGAATGCAAGTCCTGGTGCCGCCGCACTCTCCCACCCTTTTCCCTTGGCACTGGGTTCGGCCATCTGTGCTCAATGACAAGGAGGTGCCGAAGAGGGGTTCCTCCATTTCCATCCCCCAAATGGTCCCAGTTCCGGAGAAGGGCGGGATGGTGATGAGCAGCCTCAGAAGCCTGGGCTGAGTGGGCAGTGAGAGGAGCAGCGCGTCAGGATGCGTTAATCCTTTATTGAGCCCCTCCCCACCGCGGGAGAGCTGGTGGCATGGTGGTCTCTGCAGATCCTCCACAACCCGATCGCCAGACCTAAGGGCTGTGGGCTTCCCAACAGAGGGCGGGTCAGTGCAGGGCTGTGACCGAGAGAGAAAGTTCTGGTGGGCGGGAGGTGGAAAGGAATAAGACCAGGACAAATCCCAGCTTGGCCACTTTCCCCAGCCATGTGGGTTTCTTCCCCGCCCCCCACCCACCCACCCTGGGCTCCCAAAGGAGTGGCCGGTGGGGATGCAAGTGCACTTCTGCACCAGCGTGGTCAACCGAGAAAGGGACAGGAGCGTACCAGCCACTTCCCTTCCAGCCACACTCACCTTCTGGCCCATCAGGCCGCTCTTCCTCTGGCCCTGCACTGCCCTCTTCCCCATCCAATGGCGTCTCCTCATCCTCTTCCTCCCCGAAAGCTCCTAGGGCGCAGGAAGGCCCTGTGAGCCTAAGCCCACCTTCTCTAGTCCCCCACCCCTCCCCCACCCGGAGGGCTGGGCTGCCCAGTCCCAGTTGCCTGCGGCCCCATTCTCTCCCTGCTTCCTCACCCGGCTGGAAGTCGATGGTCCTCAGCATTTCGGCCACGTGCTCCACACTCACGCTGAACTTCTCCATGCTTTCATAGCCAGGCTCCGGCCTCCCAGCCAGCTCCACCTTTGACATTGTACCAACCCTGCAGCAATGGCCGCCGCTCAGCTGGAAACGCCCCAACACCCTTCCCCCCTTCCCCATGTCTGTGGAGCCCCTGCAGCCCAGTCCTTTCCATGCCCGCTCCGCCTACTCACTTATTGATCAGCTCCTTGGCCTGCTGCAGGGAGGAAAGGAGGGTGAGAGTAAGCCGTTTGCCAGCCTTTGACAAATCATTTCTAGTGCCCACCACAGACCCGCAGCGTAGGTGGGGATGCTTAACCCCATTTGTTAAGAAGGGAAAAAACTCAAGAGGGCAGGTGACTGCCCAAGGCTTTAGGGCAAATAGGTGTCAGAGATGAGAGTTTAATTGAACCCAGGTCTCCATGACTCCCCCTCCCCACCAGCCTAGAGGCAGCAGCCACCCTCCCCCGGGCCAACCTGGAGGTAGAGCGCCATCTGCGGTTCCTCCATGGACTGGATAGCCGACTCCACCAACTTGGAGGAGGCTTCCAGGTGGTCTCCGTACTGGCGGATGAGGCCACGCACGTGCTGCAGCTTCTCCTCCTGCTCCTGAGCTAGCGCCTGCAGCAGCTCACCCTTCCGCTCCTCCAGCACGGCGCACAGGGTCTCGAACCTCTGGTTCAGCAAATGCTTCTGCCTCCGGCTGTTGTCCTAAAACACAGGGAGCAAAGATGATACCCTGTAGCTGGATGAGCACACCCCGACTTGTCCCACTCCCCAATTCACGGAAGACACAGAGTCCAAGAAGGAAAATGATCACAGCACCAATTAGTGGTAGAGCCAGAAGGCCAGCTAAGAACTGCCAATTCCCAGATCTTTTCAGTAATAATAATAATATATTTAAAGGAGTTTCGCGAGTGCTATATATACCTCTACCTCTGGCTCTGGATGCTGTTATCTCATTTAATTCTCAAACAGATCCAATGAGGTAACTACATTTCATTATCATCATTTGCATGTAATTAAAAACAAAGCCTAAGCACAAAGAAGTTAAGTAGCTAGACCAAAGTCACACAGCCTAATGAGGGGCACAGCTAGAGTTCAAACCCAGCAGACTGGTTCAGCACATCCCACGGCTGTGATCTACCTCCAGGAGCCTAGAAACTTTCCCTGCCTCCCATCCCAGCTCACCTCGATGGTCTGGCACACCTCCTCCATCTGAGTGATCACTGCTTGCACACGGTCATTGCCGGCCACCAGCATTGCGATGCCATCACTGAGCTCACTCTGCCACACACACAGGCCGGAGCTCAGGGCTGGGGCTAGAGCCACACCCTGCCCTGGAGCCAGGCCTGTGCAGGAGGAGCCTGTCCCCTCCACCCCACCCTCAGAGCATCTTCAGGGCCGCTTTTCCAGAGAGCTAGAGGGCTTGGAACCACCCCAAATATGTGGAAGCACATTCTATAGGTTCTATCAATAGAAGGAAGTGGAGAGGGGAAGGCCCTCAGCACCACATGGGAAAGGAACAGACATTTGTCAGATATTCGCCAAATGCCAGGCTCTGGGCTCGATGCTTTATTTGTTGAATCCATCCGTCCTGAAAAATTTTCAGGGACTACCCATTGGGATAATATTGTCTCTTCTCCATTCTCTTTATTCCATGACTCTGCCGTAGCCGTATGTTAGGTCACCTCGTCTCCAGTGCTGCATTCTGGTTATATTTTCCATCCTCTCTAACTGTTCACTAATTCTCTCTTTGGAGACATCTGTCACTTAATTCACCTAAGAATGTTTTATGGCAATAATTATATTTTTATTTTTTAAAGTTTTGCTTGGTTCTTTGTGAAGTCTGTATTTTTGATAGTCTACTATTGATTTTTACAATTCCATTTTTAAAAGTCTTCTGGACACACTGTTTTTCAAAAACTCCAATATCTGAATTCCTCAGGGGTCTAGATCAGTAATTTTTGTTTTTGCCAATTCCACTCATGGCATATATAATTTTTTATTTTTTTAAATATTTTATTTTATATAATTCTTACAGCATTTTTCATTTTTGCACAATGTATACATTTTCATTTTGGTTATATTCCCCATACAATTGCACCCCCCCTTATTTTGACCCTAATCCTTCCTCTCCCCGCCTTCTCATGGCGTATATTTCTTTGCCTCTCTTTAATAATGAACTAATCTTCTGTCATTCTTAATCCAAGGAAAACCCAAAGGTCTAAATGGAGAGGCTTTTCCCTCCTGACCGAATTTGCATTTGTTTTTGTCAAAAGCCAGGTGGCTATTAGCTTCTGGGGATCCAGTTAACTTGGGATTCTGTGGGGGTCTTCAGTCAGGCCCCTACCTTTTAGGGGCTGGAGACTTAATCTCATCTCTCTTGGCTCAGCCATGCTGCCAGCATTTGCCCTGAGCGCACTCTGCCACACACATAGGCCAGCGCTCAGGGCAGGGGCTAGAGCCACACCCTGCCCCGCAGCCAGGCCTGTGCAGGAGGGACCTATCCCCTCCACCCCACCCTCAGGGCATCTTCAGGGCCTCTTTTCCAGAGTTCTGGAGGGCTTGGAACCACCCCAAATGTGTGGTAGTCCTGTTTTCTCTGTGTTCACCATTCAGGGGTCGCTTCCCCTTCACTTGGTCTCCCTCCTACTGCTCCTCCACCCATGCTGCCTCCACTGGGAGATTTCCTTTGTGCCCACCAATATTATTTTAAAATTTTAAAATTATGCTTCCTATAGAATTGAGTTATATGATAGCGAGGGCCTTGTGAGTTTCTAACCCACCATAGTGAAGCCTCTGCTTGCATCCACTGTTAACTTGATCCTCACAACGACCCTCAGAAGTAGGCATTTTTATTCCCATTTTGCAAGTGAGGATGAGAGAGGCCGGGTGCTGAGTCACTGCATAGACCCTGAACGTGAGCCCTGATCTCCCTGCCCTGAAAGCCAAGTGGAGCTAGAGCCTGAAGTCCAAGACCCTTCTCATGTCCCCACCTCTGCCTGCCTGCTCCCCTGGCCGCTGCTGGATACCTTCTGGCGTTTGTAAATGGTGGGCAGCGGAGCCACCTCACAGTCCTTATGGGCTCCAAAGACCTTGCAGAGGGAGCAGGTGGGCACTTCACAGCTCAGGCAGTAGATATTGATCTTCTCGTCTTCGTGCTCCTCACACATGAGATGCTGCTCGGCCTTGGAGTGCAGAGGCCTGGAGGGGGGAGTGCAGGGGGCTCAGGGGCCCAGGCGGGGGGAGCTGGGCTCCGAGACTGTGGGGCCCGTGAGCACCTTCTCTTCAGCTTTCACCAACCACCACCTTCTCTGCTCCTGCAGTTGGTGCTAGAGCCGGGCAGCAAGCACTGCCGCGCTGCCCTTCATTCGAGGGCTAGGAAGACCAACGGTAGAGGAGGCGAGACCCAGGGCCAGTCTATTCCCGAGAAGTCCCGCTGGACAGCACATCGTGGGGAGTTGGCCAGGACCTTGCTGGTGAACTGCCAGCCCCTATCTGGGTGGAGAGGGTGAGGGGGAAGCACTGGCCAGGGATCAGAGACTAACCAAGCTGGGTGAGTTGGGGCAAGCCACTCCCCATCTCTGGGTCCGGTCCCCATCTCTGAAACCCAAGGGGTAGGTGGATTGTTTCAGCGCCTCTCTTCTGGCTCTCTGGGCTCTCTGTCTGGGCCTCAGGGAGAAGCCCTGACAGCTCACCGGGATGACTCCTGCTTGTAGATGTCGATGATGTTCTCCACCAGCAGGTTTCGCTGTAGGCCATAGACGCCATGTCGGTCCAGGACAACCTCATGCCTGCAAGATGGACATCGGAAACGGCCTCCCGAAGACACGGTGGTGGAGCTCCTGGATTGCCACAGAGGGTTTGAGGCCTGTGGGGACAGACAGAGTGAGTCATGAGGGGAGGGGGCAGGCAGAGGAAGGGTCGTAGGGGTCCAGGAGTAGGAGAAAGTGGAAGGGGAGACACCAGCTCCTCCCTAAGACTGGGCCCTCCTCTGAGAGCAACTCAGGGTAGATGGCCAAGGAAAGATCTCGCTTCCTGCCTTTGCCTTATTACTCGGCCCTCCTCCTTGAGTGTCCCTCTATCTAGCTTTTGTCAAGGCCAAGTCAGGATAGACTCTCCCCAAAGGGCTCCAACTTGGAGCTAGGGGGAGACATTGGTCTTTGGCAGGAAGGCTGAAATCTGGATGGCGTAACCTATGTGCTCCAGCCTGGGGCTCTCACTGGCCACCTCTGGGGGACAGTCTCTGCAGCCCTGGACAGTACAGGTAGACACAACTGCTGACCAATGGGATGGACAAAACAGATGTGCCAGGTGATTCTGGGAAATCTCTCTAGAGACTGGGAGTTAGGTTATTGTGCTGTGCCAGCACTGTTCTACTGTGTAAGTGTGGGTAAGCAGTTGGCCTTTGTGAAATTAATGACTAGATTGTATTCATTTAACAGCAAATATTGAGGATACCAGGTAACTGCTAGGTTTGGGGGAGAAGAAAAAAACACATGTATCCCTGCCCTAGGGACAAGCAAACTACAACCACAGCTGCCTTCAGCAGGCTAGGTGTTACAATAAGTTATATAAGATGGGGGTTGTAAGCTAAGGAGATGTTCATCCCTTCCTTCCACTTCCACCACTTTTTTTTAAGGATTTATTTATACAAGAACCGGGGTACAGGCCAGATGTGCAGGAGAGTGAGAGGATTCACCAGAGACACAGCGGGAAACAGAACAGGCCGACTGACGAAATACACTGCTGAGGGGAGCAGTGGGTGTGACAGGAGAGGTCTGCAGCGCCATGTGGGACCCTTGCCAGCCGGCTGGGATTGAACTGGCGCTGCAGAGGCTGCGGACAGCTTCACAGCATGGAGCTCAACTGCCTGCGCCACCAGGGGAGGCCCCACTTCCACCATTTAAAAAACTTGCTTCTGGGCCTCCCGGGTGGCGCAGCAGGTTGAGCTCTGTGCTGTGAAGCTGTCCTCAGCCTCTGCAGTGCAGGTTTGATTCCCAGCCAGGGAGAAACCCACATAGCGTGGCAGACCTCTCCTGTCTCACCCGCTGCTACCCTCAGCAGTGTCTTTGTTCTGCCTGCCTGTTCTGCTCCCCGCCCTCTCTGGTGAATTCTCTCACCCTCCCGTGCCTCTGACCTGTACCCCTGTTCTTGTATAAATAAATAAGTCTTAAAAAAATAAAAGTCTTCTTCCTTTGAAAAAAAAATAAAAAAATAAAAAACTTGCTTCTCCCTAAACTAGGCACGATTGCTCTGCATTGAGGAATTATCCCTGAACTAAGCAGAACCAATCACATTTTCTCTAGGAACTTGGATTGAGATCCAGAAAGAATTGAGGTAGCCAGACTATGTTCAACCAAGAGCTGACAGTGTGGGCAGCCCAGTCTTGAGCATGTGGAAATGGTGAGGGCTCAAGCTATGAGCAAAGCAGGCTGTCTACAGAGAAAAGAGCCAATTTGTGGAGCACAGCAGAGAGGGGAGACCAGGAGAGGCTGCATTATGTTCTGTGATATTCACTCCCTCCTTTTACTTAATAATAGGGCCCCTGAGCTCTTAGGGAGAGATATGGAATCAAGATGGAGGTCCAAGTCTCTCTCCCACTTGGGTGTGGCCCATACTGGCCAATGGGAGAGAGAGAGTCAAGTGTTTTGTGCAATTTCTAGGAAGTATCTTTAATGGGAGGGGGGTGAGAGTTACCCTACTCTTTTATCTTTCCTGCTGGCTGGAATGAAGTTGGAACGGCTCAAGTTGAAGCAGCCATCTTGAGCCATGAGGTAGCAGAGAATGGCAACAAGAAAATAGGAGGGAGGGGTCTCCCTGGTGGCGCAAGGGGTTAAATCTTAGCACTATGAAACAATCCGCAGCCACCGCAGCATGAGTTTCATCCCTGACCAGGGAGTTAACCCACAAGGCGCAGCAGACCTCCCCTGTCTCGCCCGCTGCTCCCCTCAGCAGTGTATTTCAATCCCCCTGTTCTGCTCCTCAGTCTGTCTCTGGTGAATCCTCTTACATCACACCCCCCCACACCTCTGGCCTGCACCCCAGTTTTTCTATGCTCAGGTAATATACTTAATGCTGAACGTGAAAAGCAGAATGTCCCAATTCGCAGTTTGAAGTATGTTTGCTACTAGATGTGTTTCACCCTTGCATGTTGTAAAGTCAGAAATCCAAACTCAACCATGGCAAGTTGGGACCCATTTGCACAACCTCTCAGAAGAGATGGGAGACAACTGTGGCCCAGGTCAGGAAGGTGAAATGAGGATGTTTGGGAAGTTTGCTCTAACCCTTTCCTGCCTCTCTCTCCTTATCAAATTGTTTCTGTCCCGTGTCCCCAAACCTTTTGCAAATGCTGAGTGGCTACTTTGGGAAGGTGATCACTACTGGGCACGTGGATAAAATTGTTACCCCTTCTTTACCTCTATCTTAACAGGGAAAGCTGTGTTGCTATGAAGATCTGATTTGGGATCCCCATCTATGACCTGGGAAAATAATTCTCACAGAGCTCCAATTTCCTCAGGTATAAAAAGGGACCGCCAAGTACTGGCGCCTGTCAAAGGCTGAGGTTCTCTGAGCCTTACCTGACAGGTTTATTATGGTGAGAATTTCAGAGCCCCTGGCCTGCGTGTGTTTGCCTGTGAGATGGCAGAGGCAGCTGGTGGTTTTTCTAGCACCCTCCTCCGGGCAGGCCACCGTCTGCAGCTCCCACAGCCGGTGAAGGGCAAGTCTGTCCTGGCGCGCCCTGGCCGTCGCGGGAGCGCCCTCTCCCGGCCGATGTCAGCAGTGCCTGAACCCCCACTTCTGCGGCCGCTGTGGCGGGGGTGGGCGGCCTCCTCCCGCCCCGCCGGCTAACCACGCGGCTCCGCTCCGCACCGGCACCTGCACCGAGTCCTTTGTTTCCACACCGCACCGGTATCTACTACATTTAAATTCGAGGAGGATTTTCATAGAGCTTCCTCAGGGCAGGACGCGGCGCTGGACCCCGCGCGTTCCCCCGCGCGCCCCGCGCACTTAACGGGGGGGGGGGGTCTGTCCAGCAAAGCCGCGCGGCCCGGGGGTGCTGCTCAGTGAAGCGGGCGCCCTCACACGCTGCCGGGGGGGGGGCGGGGAACATGGGTTAGAAGCAACTATCTGGAAAGCTCTATGCAATATTTGACCCAGTAGTTCCACTTTGGACTTTATCTCAGGATAATAACTCAAACTATAATGATTTATGCACAAAGATTTATGCCGAAAGATATTCACCAAAGCCCTGGGGCAACAGGATACATGACATAAGTAATTGTAACCCCATTCAGCAGGATACTCTTGATCCGTTTAAAAGAATGAAGTAGGCACTTCATGGGGAAATATCACTAAACTGTCAAGTGGGAAAGGTAATTTAAGAAAGAACATTTATTTTTTGGAAAAAAAGGTTATTATACTTGATGGAAGCCCGTTTCTTGGTGTATGTTACTCCATGTGAAAGGGGAAAACGGCAAGATACACTACCAGACGTGCACAGTATTTTGTCTCCCAAGTTGTATTATCTGTAAGATTTGAATTTCATATAATACATCTGTATTACTTTATAATCAACATCATAATTTATAATTACATTATAAAGCAACAAGAAAGTTGCTTTTTTAGATGGAAAAATGCTGGCATTTATGCATACAAGAGCTGGGATGTAGGCCAGAGGTGCAGGGTGGGGAGGGGGTGAGAGGATTCGTCAGAGACAGAGTGGGGAGCAGAACAGGCGCATCTACTGACATACACCGCTGAGGGGACCAGCGGGTGAGACGGGAGAGGTCTGCTGCGCCATATGTGGGTTAGCTCCCTGGCTGGGGATTGAACTCAGGCCACATTGGCTGCGGATGCTTTCACAGTGCTGACATTTAATACCATCCACCACCAGGGAGGCCCTGTTAGGATTTTAGATTAAAAAAAATAAGGCTATAAATGTATATATAGATAGTAAGATCCAAATTTGGAAGTGGATGATGAGATTTGCAGTGATTTAAATTTGCTCTTCTTTCATTCATCTACATTTCTCAAATTTGCCTTTCTAGATCATGAGTTACTTTATAAAATGCATACAAATTATATTTGTAATAATGCCATTGAGTGATAAAATTGTGGGTGATTCCCTCTTTCTGTTCTTCCTCCTTATCTTTTTTCATTCTCTCAAAAGTAATTTCCAACTTTTGTATTGCTATAAGGCCCATGGGGTTTGGAAAAAACTTTAAAGAATGCAGTGCTCCGTCCTGACGTGGGTGAGGAGGGGGTGCTAGAGGGCCTTGAGAGGCAAGGAGATGAAACACTGCTTTCCTCACTCCCTGAAGAACAGCGTAAATTCAAGGGAGGGATTTAAGCAGATGTTATGTGAAGACAGGCTGGATATGGAGCGGGAGATGGTGGGTTGGAAGGAACTTCAGGAGGTCAGGAGACCAGAGGAGTTTAGGTTACAAATAGGGGAGTCACAGGGAGAACCCGGAAAGGTGGACTTGACAAGAAGAGCTTTTTTGTTAAATCATGGTACAATAAGGACTAAGAAATAACTGATGAACTGCTGTACACGGAAATGTTTTTGTTCTTTCCTTAAATCTTATATTACACAAGGCAGCCCGCCCCATGGAGTGACATTTTGTGAGCAGTGATGTGATGCGCAGAGGAAATCCGTCGCCCCAGGAAACAGCACACCTGAATTGCTGTCTCCTTTGGCTTGTGTGTCGGTGACCTGTTCCCTGCGTTCTCCCCTGTACAATGGCAACAACAGCCCTCTGTCTAACTCACATGGAACCGGGCATGTGAAGGTCTCTATGAAAGCACTGTGCAAAGGGATGGTAATAATCCTAATCTAGGCCTTAAAGATACACAGTCACACCAAACCACAGGATATAAAATCACTGTTCTCGCTTCACTGTGAAGGATAAAATGGAAAAAAAAATGGCATTAATTCTAGGTTGCGTTTGAAGCTTCTACATGGCACATGTGCCATAAGCTCTTTTAGGTGTGGTGCCTTCTACTCCTATGCATTGTTCCACAGCACCAACAGGAATGTTCCACTGAGAAAGACACTCTGTGACTACGGTTATTGGCCAATCTATACTCATCTCCGAATGGTTTCCATCTTCCTTAGCTCTCCAGAGTGATGCTAACTTAGGGGTTGTTAGAGGCTCTTTCCCCCGACCTGATGGCCTGGCCATCCTATCTTGCCTGCTTCTCCCCTCAGCAGTGTACATTTGGTCATAGGGATGAAGGGTGCAGGTGCTCAGAGCCAGCCCCATGGCTTACACTGGAGAAACCAGGGAAATGGTGGGCAGGAGACCGCACATTTGAAGAAAAGTTGAAGAGACTCTGAGTCAGTAAAAACTGAGCTGTGGGTGGGAAGCGGAATTTGAGTGGACGGTTAGCTCTGCTCGACAGAACCTAGCAAAGAGCCCGGCACCAGGGCTTGGTGAAAGTAAGCTGGCTGGAAGGAAGAGGGAGTCAAGTTAGGATGCCAGTAACAGAATGGGAAGCCCTTAAACAGTGGAAATCTATACTATTCTATTATATAGCATAGTTTATACAGAATATACTATTCCTTGAAGTTGTGAAATCAGAGTGTTAGAATTACAAAGGTGTTAAAACACCTTTTTAATCTGTATTTGTGCAAACAGGCTTGGAGAGGTGACATATCCTGATTTACATTGTGAAGAAAGTAGAGGCACTAGAACCCAGGATCGCCAAATCTCAACTTAGGTTATTGTTTTTCAAAACCAAGTTTCTTCCCTAAAGTAAGACCCCAACCCCTCTACAAGGTTAATGCAATTCACAAAATTTCTCACAAAAGAGACCTGTCCAGGGATGGACTGGGAAGTGGAGGCAGGCTGGGGAGGGTTTTTAGTGGCGGGGCTACACTTGAAGACAAGGCCTGGTCAAGAACTGATAAAAGAACTGGCATTTGGGGTACACTGAAACAGCAGTCACCTCTTTCCCAGACCACCCTTCTATTGAAGAAGGAGGCCACTTTCTTGCTATTTTTCTCTCTATAAATCTCTCCCTAAGCAAAAGCCCTCCAGAAAAACTGTTCCTGAGCCACCTTCTTACAAAGCCTTCTGTCTGTGAAATTACAACAGGTTGCAGCTCATAAACAAGTGCCCACAGTGAAGTGGGGGCAGGTATAAAAATAAACTGAAGGCTTGCTTTAAAGTAGTTTAGGAGCGAACAGAGTTTACAAATACAGAAACACATGGGAAGATGTCTGTGTCAAATTCCCACACCAACAGCTTTCCTCTAGTCAAAATGCTTGGTAGCTGAGTGGGTGCAAGTGTGGGGAAAGAGGGAGAGAGGAATTAGAGGGGGTTAATGTAGTGTTTTATTCTGTTTAAATTAAAAGCTCTACATTAGAGCTTTTAGAGCATTACAGCTCTAAAGAAAAGCAGTTGAATAATAATGGCAAATGTGTCAGAGTATGTATGGGGACAAGGATTTGACAGCAATATGCAAACATGAAGATAATTGTGTTGGGGGGAGGTGGGATGATGGATGATTTCCACCCAAACTCTTAATACTTCGCCATTTTTAATTAAATGTTTTAACTTTTTATTTTTTTAAAGATTTATTTATTTTTATATAAGCACTGGGGTACAGGCCAGAGGCGCGGGTGGGTGAGAGGATTCACCAGAGACAGAGTAGGGAGCAGAACAGGCAGAATGACCGAAATACACTGCTGAGGGGAGAAGCAGGCAAGATAGGAGAGGTCTGCCACACCATGTGGGAATCTCTCTAGCCTGCTGGGAATCGAACCGGCGCTGCAGAGGCTGTGGACAGCCTCACAGCACTGCACTCAACCTGCTGCGCCACCAGGGAGGCCCTGTTTTAACTTTTAAACTTTGCTTCCTGGTTCTCTTATAAAAATCAAATTACCAAAAATTCCTGCTCATTGTCCAGCACAGCAATTTTAAGGACAGTAAAACACTGGACACCATCCAAGTATTTTAGAGACTGATTAAACAGAATGTGATCCAGTGACAATGGAATACTCTATAGTCATTTAAAAAGAAGAGATAGACCTGATGTACAGATAAGGGAAAATAAGCGAAGAGAGAGTGAGTGAACAAAGGCAGGTATACAGTGTACATACAAACATGTACCCATCCATGGAAAATTTCTGGAAGGATACCCAAGAGAGTTGGTAATAGCTGTGTCCACCTGGATAAGGGAATTGAGGGCCTGAGGTGCAGGTTCAGAAACACAAATTTTGTGTGTGTGTGTGTGTGTGTGTGTGTGTACTGGTATCATTTGTACATGTCCTGTTAACTTTCTAGACAATGTTCTAAGAGTAGTCCCCCCGAAATGATTTTAAGATAGAGGAACCAAAAGTCCTATTCTTGTCCTCATACTTAGAAAACAGACAATCTGATTATGCCTGGAGTTGTCAAAATGTGGAGGCAATGTGTGAAAAACTAAATATGTTCATCTTTCGGAGGGAAATCTACTGAGATGTATATACATAAATGCAGCTAAAGAACTGGGTCAGCCTCCCACCTGGCCGTCCCAAATAAAGCAGCAAGGAAATGAGCTGTTTGGTCTCCTCTCCCCAGAGGGCTCAGGGGCGCTCTTCACTTGAAGATACACATCAGTCCTGATCCTCAGAACCATGACCAAACCCTGGGAATCATGCTATCTCCCAAATACTCAGCGCAGGGTTTGATATAAGCCATCCCCAGGTCTTGCTGGGTCCAGATCATGTATTCCAACACTTCAGGTGACCAAGACTGCCCGGGCACAGAGGGCTGTCTTGAACAAGGGAGGCCACTTTGTATCTTCTGGCCTCCACAGCAGGAGCAAGCTATCCTTGGGTGTCTCTGCTCCAGCACACCATGCACCTTGCACCTTAGTAATCTGACCACGTTTTACAGGATGCATTACCTCCACTTCCAAAACCTCTCTTTGCTTTCAAGTATTTCAGGTTCTAATAAAGGGTGTTTTACTACAAACTCACAAGAAGGGGTGGCAGAATCTTTTTGCCATTCCCTCCTAGGCATCTCAGTCTGAAGGAAGTTCAGAGAGTTACTTAAGACCAAAGGGAAAACCAAGATGGTGGGCAAGACACAAATACTTGCACATGATGTGGTGCCTGGTGGGACAGGCAGAGTAGTTGGTCTAGGACGGGGAACTCACTGGTTCTGGGACACTCTGGAGCCAAGAAGTGGCAGGTTTGAACACTTAGAGGAACAGGCAGCAGGGATGGGCCTCGGGGAGCTGGCAGGAGAGACCACAGCATGGGCACTAGTGTAGGTGGCAAACAGCAGGAGAAAGCGTGGGCCACAGGGCAGGTGTGGGGCAGCCTGACTTAGTTGCCCATTATCTTCCCCCAACATGCTGTCCCAAAGAATTTACAATGGAAGCATTTTTCTTGGTTAAGCTGAAAATCACTTATGCTCCACATAGTCCTCAAATTTCAGATTCAGATGAAGAACATGTCCTCGTGATGGCCCTTATGGCGGCCATGCATATTAAAACAGGCAGCGCTGATCTATCTGACTTTTACTTCACTTGCAAGGTCATTTTGTGTGTGCACCTTTTCCCCTCTCTTTGATCTTTGTTCCATTTTATAGATGATGAAAATCTACACCAGTGGCCCAGGGCAAGAAAGCATGGCTGTTTATAAACTATTCTGGTATATGCTGCTTTTATTTTTAAAGACAGTAGCTAAAGTGACATCTGTGAATTTGATTAACTATGCTTTGTCCCGCGACTACAAATAAACCATAACAGGTTGCGTTTCTGGGAAGCAAAATTTCTTCTGCTTTCTCCCTGCTTAAGTAACCACAATCCTTTGGAACCAATAGGCCCCTTTACTGACCATCTGGAGTGGGCCACAGGGGTAAACTTGAGGGAGAGCTGCCAGTCTCTTGCCTACTGTCTCACTCTGTTCCCCCAAAAGATGGGTGCATTGAGTTTTGCTCAAATGCAAATAGTTTCACTGTCAGCATGGACTTGCCTCAAAGATTTATTTTTTAATTTTCATTATCTCACTGATTTTTTTCTAGATTTTTCCATATTAGCTTCAAAATCTGAAACTCCAAATTAGAATGCAAGTCTAGCACAGACTGTTATGCAGCCCAGTGGAGGACCTCCTTCATCCCAGTTTCTGTGGGGGTCTTCTTTCCTTTCCAGCACTCCCAGCTGCTGTCCACGCATGGGCTGTACTCTGCCAGCCTGGAAGCAGCTGCTGACTCATGCTTACTCTGGGATCTGCCCAGACCCTGCCTCCTCTCTTCAGCCAGGACAGCCACCACCCCCCTCACAGAATACTCCACCCATCACCTTTCCGGGTCTCAGCTCTAACCCGTGAGAGATCTCCCACAGTCCACAAGGCTTTACCTGACCCTGCCCCCACCTCAGCCCACCTGGAAGATGTCGTTGGCACACTTGCGGCAAAGGTTGTGCTGGCAGGGCAGGATCACCACCGGTTTGGAGAACATCTCCAGGCAGATGGGGCAGATGAGCTGCTTCTCCAGGTTGTCCATGCTGTGTGCATCCCCTAGCAGCGGCTTGAAACCCACTGTGAAGTTCATCCCCTCAGCGCTTGTGCCTTCCCCGGCCTTGGCTCTGGTCCTGGCCTCCTCTCGCAGCCTCGGGACCGTCCTCGCTTGCTTCAGTTTATGGTTCTTATGTCCCCTTCTGCTGCTCCCTCTTGAACCAGTTCAGCTGTCCCTCCTGTCCCTTCCTCTAACAATCCACCTGCACCTTCAAGAGCTGTCTTCACGCACTTCCCTGTCTCTAGCTGCGCTCAGCATGCGAGCCAGGCACATGTAGCTTTGTTATCTGCCCTCCCTGAATGTCTGTTCCTGCAAACTTCTCCTTTTGTTCCCCCAACGACTCTTGCTCACTCTATGGGCAGTGCTGTTTGTCTCTCACTCCCCAGAGAGGAGATTAATTTTAACATGGGGGTGGGGAACAAGGGGCATCTGCGTGACATTCCAACTCCCAATTTAGCTCCTGTAAGGCGAGCCACAGCTGTCACCAAATGAGTGACCCTGACTCACTCAGGAACGGGTGACTCCCTTGAGCAAGAGCAAGGCGGGCTTCGCTGCTAACGGTGAAAGGTGGGACAGCAAAGGTGTCGGCTCCTGCCGGCCTCAGGCCCCTGGGCTCTGGGTTGGGCCTCTCTTCCAGGGCAGTGACCCAGAATCTAATTCAGCCTGTGGGAGAGGCACCAGACGTGACTCAGAATGGGGGGAAAGATCTTGCTAGACCTACAATCAGTAACAGCTTCTGCTTCCAAGGCTTAGCCGTGAGCCTGGCCCTCTTCCTGTGAACCCTGGGATTCAGAATAGGGGTGTCAGGGACTAGAGGGAAAGGCTCTAGTCCAACACTTCTGGCCCACTTTTGTTCACACCACAGAGTGGGGTTCTGGCCCACGAATACATCTCTGGAGCCACTCCAAGGATTTAAAATTTGTTAGGAAACTGAGAGAAGCTGGGCTGGGCAGAAAGGACCTGAATGTCAGGGACCTATTTTGGGCACAAGGGGAGTTGGTCTCCAGGGCAATTTTAGGGCAGTGACAAAGTCATAATCACAAGGCTCCTGGAAGCTTCTCCCCCAGCTCCACAGTTGTCTTGGGGCTGAGCTGCAAGCACCAATCCTCTAGCTTTTTCTTACTTTCTCTCTCTTCCAGGCACAGTTTGTCTTTTGGGGCCCAATATCTACACTGGGATTGGATGAAAGTTCTTTTATTTGCTGACATTCCTTGACCCTTCTCCCAGTCAGGAGAGAGAAGTTAGAGGAGTTACTAGGCTCTGACCCTGGGTGGATGGGATACAAATGGTGTGGAGAAGATACCAAATAGGCAGTGTGAGGAGGCGTAAGTTGGGTGATGGCTTGTAGCAGTACAATCTTTTCCCTAACACATTTCATACCCGTTTCAAGAACAAAATAGATGGTGATCAGCTTGCATAAGACATGGTAAAAAAAAAAAAAGGCGGGAACCAGCAGGCATGGATGTGTGAGCTTCAGTCACTCGAGGACCCTGCTGATGGGTGCTGTGCTGGTAGCTGCAGTCCGGGGAGTCCCAAAGGTGGGTGAGCTAGCCTCAAGTTTCAAACGCACTCAGACTTTTCCTGAGTTGAGTCGTGGAGGCATGGAATGAAGCTGGAGAGGCCACATGCCTGGGAAGCAGAAGGTGAGACAGGCACAGTGTACTGGCTTAGGAATGATGCTACAAGTTCTTGGACTCAGAGTTGCAACAAAGCCACAGTCATCAGGAGCGGAGTGGAAGTATCATCAGTGGCTCAGGGACCCCACCAGCTGACACTGGCTCAACTCTCAAGGAATGCACTGGAAAAAGAATGCCTGGGAAAGTTCTTTCAGCACTGCTTGAGACATAAAGGTAAAGATGGGAGGGCCGCTTTCTAACAGACTGCAATTGGTACTGGTGCTAAAAAGACTAGCTGGGCCACCCTGTATCCTCAGGGTCAGTCTGTTGAAAGACAGAGATGGCACCCTCACCAGGACCAACAGCAAAAATGCTTCTGAGGTTGGGGTTCTTACAAGTAGAGGGAAAATCAGGGTCGATGTCAGAAAAGGGTTACTTGCTCCTCTCTTCAGTGTGTCCAGTAGACCGGGTGGCAGAAGGAACCCTCATGGGTGAGCACCTACGAGAAGATGGCATCTTGTTAACCAGAAGGAATGCTCACCCAGAGTTAAAACAAACCCCTCACAGGTTAAAGATATAACTGTAAGGATACAAACTCACCACCGGTGATTCATCTGGTTAGTCTATATTCTTATCTTTTAATTATTGTTGCATTTCAGTTTCCATACCTCACTATTCTTGGTATTTTAATCATCACCATCATCATCATCTTCCACCTTTTCAAAATTTTCTCTTTTTCCTAGGATGGAATTTGGAGAGGACGTTGGTAAACAAAAAACAGTAACAGTTTTTCAGTCTGCTGGTGAGGACAAATCTGTTACCTTGCAGTTTCGCATTAGCATCACAAGGTGGCACTGGTGTGACCTTCAGGCAAGTCACACTGAAGTTAACTACTTGGGGTGGGGATAATCTCAGACACTTCCTATTCCTTTTGGGTAAGTGCAATAAGCTGCATCCTCTACTTTGTCTTCAACAATTCGAGGCACACTCTCCCACTCCGTTCCTTACCTGAACTTCCACCATGTTCTTTAGCTTAACAGTCATGACATTCAGACTGTCACTTTGTCATATAAGCCCCTCAAAAGTCCAGTGCCTCCCATCTTCCTTCTTTGTTTTGCCCCAATACTGACTTGAGATTCCCATATTCAGGGGTTCATGGTTTTACACCCAACCATTTCTTTCATTTCCAATCCACTTCTTACCTCAGTCCCTGTCTACGGTTCTCACCTGCCCTTGGAGGCTGGCTCTGGACATTCTGCTGGTATCTTCTAGCAACCTCCTCAGATGGTGGCGAAAGTGATCCACAGCAAAGGCAGCAGCAGCAGCAACAGCAGCAGCAAGTGAACAGAAAACAAAGGAGGACAAGTGTCTACAAGGCAGGAGAGAGTAGCTTCAGGCCGCTGGATCTTCCATACGCCCACTCAAACTCCCCTCCCTCCACCCTCCTGGCACCCAGAAAATAAGACGACAAAAGCAAATGTCCTAGGTCAGGAGGGTCAGCTGTCCTAGAAGAGAGGGTCACCCCTCCTTCCTTATTCTTAAGGGACTAGGAAGAGTTGTGTACCTTGAACCAACAACTAGTCGTCAAAAAATAGTATCTGACGCCATCATCACCAAAGTGCTCATATATATATATTCCCAATGAGCCATGCTGGTCGTAGATTTTCTTCTTCTTAGGGTCACTCAGTATGGCATGGGCTGTGTTGATCTCTTTGAATATTTCTGCTGCTTGAGCATCCCCTGGATTCTTGTCTGGATGATACTTCAAGGCCAGCCTCCTACCCAGGCAATACCCAAAAGGAGAGTGGAGAGTCGGTGGGGAATGGCCGGGGTGGGAGGGTTAGGAGGAATGAGAGGGACAGGTTTGTGGACAGTGAAGAAGGAAGCATGAACCATGGCACAAAGGATAGAGGTAAGCGGCCCGAGTCTGAATTCCTTCTCATGCCGCACTGAAGAGGTGATGGCCCCATCTGGCCCCAAAGTGAAAGCTTGGGGGTTTAAAAACGGGTGAGAAAGCAACGTAGGAAGAAAAGGGCTTAAGGTGGGGGCAGAGAGGGAGTTCAGGGTTAAGGAGGGGCTGAGGTCTGAACCTGTAGGCTTTTTTGATGTCTTCAGGTGAGGCACCCTTCTTCAGCTCCAGGATAGCATAGAGAGCCTTCCCACTTTTGGAGAGAGAGCGGGCAGCTTCATCCATGTGAGACATGATCTGGGTCAGAGAAGACACGTTTGTGAGAACTTCCACAGAGGAGAAGTGAATGTCCAGTGGCAATGAGAGCCATCGGGGACAGTCAGGTGAGTGACTACAGAGGGACATGTGTAAGACGGCAGTGAGTGGGACCTGTGACTGGTAGGAGAGTTCAAGTGAGAAGACAATCAAACAAAATTTAAAAAAAGGAAACATCCCACATTTCCCAGCTCCTTCAGCTATGCAGACACCCCACATCCTACAGAAGTGTAAGCAAGGGGAGGCCTGGGGAGAGACTGACCGTCCACTTCTATAGTAACTAAGTGAACAGCCGCCAGTCTGTCCAAGCGCATTGCTAGGTTGGAAAGACCTGGCAGCCCCAGTCACTGAACAGGTTGGGTCAGAGACTGGGATGATTTCTGAGTGGCCTAAAAGCAGCCAGGTGTCCCAAGCCAGACCAGACACAATATGTGCAGCTAGGCCAGAGATGTTCTTCTCCAGGGTAGGTTCCCATCTCAAACCATCCCATGCTTGGGGAGACCAGGGGGAAGGATGCAAGAGATGAAGAAGCCAGTGAAGTGGGGTACTTGTAGGGGGCCGACCATCAAGGGAACAGGGAGCAGTGCCCCCAGAGAGTGGGGGGAGAGCCCAGGAGGCCTGGGACCAGGAAGAACCAAGACAACAAGCTCAAGAGGGCCTGCTCTTGTCTCCCAGGGCTCCACTGGCTCCGTATGGCCTGCCCAGAGCGCCGGGCGTTTTACCTCCCAGCCGTGGTCTTCCGCTGGGTAGGCCCCGCACAACCTCCACCGCCAGGCTGTGAAATTTCTCACCGCAGGGCCCAGCGCCTCACTGCGCCTGCGCAGTGACTTGGCCCTCCCGGTCACTTTTTGGCGCCTCCGGAAGGGCTGGGAGGGGAGGCCGCAGGCGCCCTGGGACTTATTTCGCTCTTGAGAAGGCGGAAGGAAGCGATGGGCTGGGCGCCAGCGTTGTTTCCAGACCTTCTGGGGGCGGGAGGCCCTGGGGTGGGGAGGCCCCGGCCTTGGGGGACCTTCCCTTCGTAGTGGGAGGACATCGCCCGCTATGCGCCTTCGGTCAGGGCGCCTCGACTCGCCTAAAGGAAGGTAATGGGCCTGTGGACGGGGCGGTGTGAGACGCGTGGGTGCTCCAAGTCTTCCTCGAGAGGCGAGCGACCTCCCGGCTGCTGTCTGAGAGTGTAAAGGGCGGCGCTCGGGGGCGCTTTCCGTTTCTTCACCTGGAAACTCCTACACATACTTTAAGACCCACCCGCCCGTGTCCTGAGACTCCTGCCCTCATGCCCCCAGTTGTTCTCACCTTGCTTTATGAAGTGTTTATCGTATCATATCATAGGGATTCGTGACACCTTCCTTTAAGACGGTGTTTTGAACATTTCCAGAAGTCACTGCTGTGCTTCACAATCTTCCTTTAACTACTAACTGCATCATGACGAGGCACCATAATGTAATTATAATCCAGTTTGTATAGTTAGGTTTTCCTAACCATGGGCGAGTGTAGTAATAAAAACTACTTATAATGAAAAATCTTACCTATAAATCTTTAGTCTTTTTTACCCTTGGGAGGGAAAATTCCTGGAAATGGAATTTATTGGATTTAAGTAGTGGTGGTGGTTCTTTTTTTGAGGTTCCTGATCCATAGCTAACTCTAGTCTCAGAAAGGTACCAATTTATATCTGACCAATTTACCTCCCAGGTGGCCTCAGTTCCTGTGAGAGGAGGTGATGTTTGCATTACGTATAATTTACCACTTTGTGATGCTGGTTCTCTTTTCAGAAGAGCACTCACTGGCTCCTCGAACATGTCATTGAAGAAGCTTTATTGTCTTGGTAATCTCTCAGTTACCCCTCTTACAGTTTTCATCACTTTTCCATTTATTACAGTTATTTGTGCACATTTATCTCCACTTCTAGGTGGAGGGAGCCATCGGCACAAACTCACTAAGGAGTGCACATGCAACAGTGTTCATTGAATTAATTTATTTCTGTGAAACTGTGATTCGTGTAGGGGGTGGGGGTGAAAATCTTTAGCAACACCAACTCATTTCCTAGCTCACCCAAAGTGAAGGAGCTAAAATTGACCATTTTTCTCTATACTGTTTTGTTTGTACTATGCCAAGTTTCTCAAACTAACCTCCAGCCCTTCCCCGCCATCACTGGACAACAGAATTAACACAACCCAGGCCATTTCTTCACTAGCACAGAACAGTATGAAAGGTGAATCTAGTGAAAATCTTGCTCCAGTCTAAGGCTCAGCATGCTGCAGCCCCTGCTCTCACTGCAGCCCTGTCAAGTAACATGGTACCAAGTACCTGTGCTCGCTCTCACTTCAGGGGTCTTGGCCATGACTGTTCCCTCTGCTTTGCTGGCTGACTTGGCATCCTTGGAGGATCTCTTGGGAGATCATCGTGGGAGCCTCTCTTGTCTCCTCAGATCTATCCACTCCTCTCTCCCCACCTTATAACACCTTCAGCATGATAAATGAACATATCTTTATTTGTATGTTGGTTTGTTTAAGTCTTTCTTTTCCAGTAGACAGTGAATTCCATGAAGCTCTCTGCACCTCTGCAGCATGAGTTTGATCCCCAGCCAGCCAGGGAGCTACCCACATGGCGCAGCAGACCTCTCCCGTTGCACCCGCTGCTCCCCTCAGCAGTGTATTTCAGTCTCTCTGCCTGTTCTGTGCCCCTCTCTGTCTCTGGTGAATCCTCTCATCCTTCACACCTCTGGCCTGTATCCCAGCTCTTGTATGCATGAATAAATAAATCTTTAAATAAATAAATAAATCTTTATTAAAAAAAAAAAAGAAGAAGAAGAGACACCAGGGTAAAGAGAAAGAAAGCGATGAGGGAGATAGAAATGGTGGTTCCAAGCTCTTTGTGTCTTCTTTATCTTAATCTTCCTTCAGTTCCTAACATAGCTCCTGGGATATGTAGGTGCTTAATACACGTTAGGTTGAATGAACAAACTTTTGTGTGGTTTTTCAGATGGGTTTTTACCTGATTATCTTCTTTGATTTTCATAAAACCTTGAGAGGTGAGTGACCCTGTCCCTGCATTATAGCAGTGAACCCTGAGAAAGGATACATTTAGTTCTGAGAAAAGTTAGTAACCATCTTTCAGGTCTTGCCAGAGGCTCCAGGATGTTATTAATTAATTCAAATCCTAATTCATGGCTCCTGAAATAGCCATTATCTTTTCAGTCTCCTGAACCTCTGCTCTGGAGAAATGATGCTGCGGCTGCAAGGATGGGAGCAGACTCTCTCCACTTTACCTTCACCTAGAAACAGACCCCCTTTGACTGTATGCTCTGCGCAGGATGTTTTCTAACACCCAGCACGGTACTAGGAAGAACACACAGGCAGGTGTCAGAAGCCCTAGGTCTTAATAGTTCTGGCTCTTGCTCTAACAAGCTGTGTGATCCTGTGCAAGTCACTTAATCTCTGAGTCATTTCACAGGGTGGAGGTCAAAACTAAATTAGATTTGTTATAAGAGAATAAAACAAAACAATAACTATGCTAAAGAATGACTGCAAACTAAAACATTTTCTGGAATTATTTGGTTTCCTGCCATACATTGAATCCATGATCTTATAGTTTATTACCTCACAGAACCATTTGGTCTCTCCTGGAGAAAACCAGGAAGCATTCCTTATTTACCCACAAACAACTAAAGTTTTAGTCATATAGCTGGAATATACACATACAGACAGCAGACATTGGCATATTTACACCCAAAATATCACGCTTGGTAACATATGCAGTAGGAGAGAGAGATCATAATTTGTCATACCCAACCAGCAGGTTCTGGGATTGTACAATTTTGAAGCTGGAAGGGACCTCAGAGATTTAACTCTTATCCATTGTCTTCAGTTCGTAATCGAGGAAAGTGTGGCCCAGAAAGAAAGATTGACCTGCTCAAGGTCAACAAGAGATCCAGACCGAAATCTTTTGACTTCAAGATCAGTGTCTATTCCACGCACACTGGCTCACTTCCCACATTAAAATTTAGGTCTAGAGGCCTCCCTGGTGATACAAGGGGTTAAGATGCAACCTATGAAGCTATCCACAGCCACTGCAGCACGAGTGCAATCCCTGCCCAGGGAGGTGACCCACATGGCACAGCAGACCTCTCCTGACTCACCCGCTGCTCCCCTCAGCAGTGTATTTCAGTCAATCTGCCTGTTCTGTTCCCTACTCTGTCTCTGGTGAATCCTATCACCCAGTTCTTGTATGCATAAATAAATAAATCTTTTAAAAAAATCTTTTTTTAAAAAAGATTTATTTATTTATTCATTCATTCATTCATACAAGCACTGGGTACAGTCAGAAGCTCAGGAGGGTGAGAGAATTCACCAGAGACAGAGTGGGGAGCAGAACAGGTAGATTGATGAAATACACTGCTGAGGGGAGCAGTGGGAGTGGCAGGAGAGGTCTGTGCACCATGTGGGACCCTCGCCCGGTGGCCTGGAATCGAACCGGCGCTGCAGAGGCTGCAGGCAGCTTCGCAACCCAGCGCTCAACGGCTGCGCCACCGGGAGTCCCAATAAATCTTTTTTTTTTAAGATTTTATTTATACAAGCACTGGGTACAGTCAGAAGAGTGGGAGGGTGAGAGAATTCACCAGAGCAGGGAACAGAACAGGCAGACTGACGAAATACACTGCTGAGGGGAGCGGCAGGTGCGGCAGGAGAGGTCTGTGCGCCATGTGGGACCCTCGCCTGCGTCCAGGTATGGAACTGGCACTGAGGGGAGGCTGCAGGCAGCTTTGCAGCCCAGTGCTCAACTGGTGCACCGCAGGGGATGCCCAATAAATAAATCTTAAAAAAAAATTTAGGTCTAGAGACAGACCAAAGCTGTGGTTGGTATTCCCTCCCTTTCATGGGTGATACCAAGTAATGTCCCTCCCTCCAGTTGAATACTATGTATTCACAACGCTTTATGTGTGACAAAAGCCACCATCCTTAGTTTGTTTGCATGTCCTCCCAGGACAGACATCTTAAGGTGGGAGGTGGAGGTTTCCAGCCAGAGAGCCTGCTTCATACATACCCTTGATCTACAACCCTAGACACTTAGTCTGTCTGAAGACTAAGAAGGGCACATCTGCCTCAGGTGTAAAATGGAGATAATGGTGTCTAGACTTGTTAGGAGAATTAAATAATTTGTTTTTTAAAATGATTTATTTTATTTATACTTACAAGAGCTGGGGTGCAGGCAGATGTGCGGGGTGAGAAGATTCACCAGAGACAGAGTGGGGAGCAGAACAGGCAGATCTAACTGAAATACACTGCTGAGGGGAGCAGCAGGTGAGACAGGAGAGGTCTGCTGCGCAATGTGGGTTTCTCTCTGGCTGGCGGGGGATTGAACTTGTGATGCAGAGACTGCGGATTGCTTTATAGTGCGGTGCTTAACCCCTTATGCCACCAGAGAGGCCCCTCAAAATGGCTTTTACTCGTCTTCTCTTTGGCTTCCACAGACTTGAAGTAGCCCAGTGAAAGGACCTATATCAACACTGACTGTTGGCCTAGCCTGCTAACTGTCCTTCCTGCTGCCAGTCCCATCTTGGATATGCTAGGAGATCAATGTTCTTAAAACAACGCCTCTCTCACTACTACCCCTTTGCTCATAGCCTACAAGATACAAGTCCACCCTGCCCCCCCCCTTTTCTTTTTATTGAGCTAACATTAGTTCACAACTCTGTGTAGGTTTCATGTGTATAGTTTCTCATCTCATGCCCACCATCGAGTGTCCTGTCACCATCCACCACCAATCTGTTTGTCCCCTCTACCCACCTCCTCCCCCACCTAACTCTCTAGTTTACACTGTTGTGTTCT